CTCCATGGCCCTGATATGGGTTCTTGTGTAATCCTGATCTATAAAGCCGGAAACCACGACATTGTTTCTCCTCGAGCCGAGTTCGTGAGCTTGAAAGAAAGGTTTGAAATGTTGAGACACCTCGACTGGGGAGCACTTAAACAGGATCATCCTGCTTTGGAGCCTGCGGCTACCGTACAAACTAAAGTGGTCTTATTTTACAAGTTTTTGCAATATAATAATCGCTTATATTTTTTGCCTATCTAAGCCGTTGATGTAGTAGTTTAGTGTCATAATGGCTTGATGTTTATGAATGTTATGAATAGTTGGTGTTTAAACTTCGATACTTTTGAATCGTGGGGAGAGGGTTTTATTACAATATCTGAAATCCTCAAAACTGCTCAGATTTAGCAATCCTTTAGGGACATTATAGTGTTGTTCTATGCCCTTGAAATTTGAGGTGCGTCGCGAATTAAATTATCTAAAAGAATTATTGTTATTCCTTGAAATCTTGTGTTCAAGCATTATAAATGTCATGAATGGGAATGTTCAATGTGTGCTTGAAATTATCTATAAACATATATTGTCTTGTACTTGCTTCATATGAATAAAAAAATAAAATTTGAAGTGTGAATGTAATCTAATTTCATCGTTTTTAATTTTTTTTAAATTTTCATCTTCAGTTTTATCTTTTATATGTCACATGGGGACTTACCCTCACATATTTATCTTTTCAATGTATTAGAATTTAGTCCTTTTCTTACCAAACAAACTACCAATTCAATAAAGTGTACGACATCTTCAATGTTCAATAATAAACAGATTTAAATTAAATTTAAACTTGAGTTAGATTGAATTTTATTTTAAAATGTAAACTCTTTCAATGTCATTTCTATTTATAAGATTTAAATTCAAAATATTATTTAAAAATATTAAATTTTTATGTTTTGATTCAACATATTTCAATCATTTTTAAAAGAGATTTTAAATGATGATAAATTAAATTGTTGATTCATAAAAAAACAAAGAGAATATTAAACATTTAATTAAAGAAAATTATTGTTTCAAACAACCAAACTAAACCATGCACTTGCAAAGAGACAGCCTTAAAATTCTTGAGTCATACAGCTGTGACACGTGCGAACACTCTGTCTCTTCGTTCACGCGCCATTTCTACACTCGCCCTCTATCTCCACTTCGCTTCAAGATCGACACGTGTCCCACCTGAACAAAGCTACAAGGATAGTTTCCGTTTTCCCTGATTTCCGTTCCTCCTCAGAACGTACGGGAACTGTCTACCGCCATCTCGTTTTCTTTACCCTCTTTTTTATGCCCCCATCCCCTGCCGTGCAATCCGTCGTCGGCTTCCTTCATCACCGCCAGTTCCGCCCGAGATGGAGAGCCACCGCCGGCGATCTAATACCGGTTCCGTTAGATCTCACAAGCCAACGAGACCGATTGCTTTAGAAGACGATTCCACCAAGGCTTCTGACGCATTGCCGCTTCCTTTGTACCTGACGAATGCGGTTTTCTTTCACGCTCTTCTTCTCGGCGGTTTATTTCCTCCTTTGCCGTTGGAGGGAAAAGATCAGGAGCTCAACTCCTCTACACGTCGTTACCTTTTCCGAGATCGTTGCGATTCTCGCTTCCGTCGCGTCGTTTATTTACCTATTGGGATTCTTCGGGATTGACTTTGTTCAGTCTTTGGTTATCCGGCCATCGGCTGACGTTTGGGCTTCCGAGGATGATGAAGTCGTGAATGGAGTTTTGTTTCGAAATGAAGATGCCCGTAAAGTCACTTGCGGCCAAGCACTTGATCGCTCGATTCGATCTTTTCCTCATTCGGCTCCAATTGTAACTGCAGAAAAAGTGTTCGATGAAATGCCTATCACAGTTATGGTCGAAGAAATAATTAGATCCGTTGTGGCTGGACTAACCCCTTCATATTCTTTGGAATCTAAGTTAGGTGACTGCAAGAGAGCGGCTGCGATCAGGCGCGAGGCTTTGCAGATATTGACGGGGAAGTCATTGTCAGGTTTACCCTTGGATGGATTTGATTACGAGTCGATATTGGGGCAGTGTTGTGAGATGCCAGTTGGGTACGTGCAGATTTCAGTGGGCATTGCTGGGCCATTGTTGCTTAATGGAAGAGAGTTCTGGGTTCCTATGGCAACCACGGAAGGGTGCTTGGTGGCTAGCACCAACAGGGGATGTAAAGCTATTCATTTGTCTGGTGGAGCTACATGTGTTCTTTTGAGAGATGGGATGACTAGAGCTCCCGTTGTGAGGTTCAGTATGGCTAAAAGAGCAGCTGATCTGAAGCTGTATTTGGAGGATCCTGAAAATTTCGAGACCTTGTCTGTTGTTTTCAACAGGTTTGTTTTTGATATTTTCCAGTTCTGGATTCAACGATTTCAATTCAAGTTAATATTAGTGCTTATTTGTTTAAGAGATGTGTTACTTTTGAGTGGTCGCAGATCAAGCAGATTTGCTAGGCTTCAAGGCATCAAATGTGCAATTGCAGGGAAGAATCTGTATTTAAGATTCTCATGTTTTACTGGTGATGCTATGGGAATGAACATGGTTTCCAAGGGAGTTCAAAACGTTTTGGATTTTCTTCAATCTGATTTCCCTGACATGGATGTCATTGGCATCTCCGGTGAGTCTCATTTGGAGGGATTTATAATTTGTTCTTCCTCTTGTTTTTCATTGTTTGAACTTTGAGCTAAGATCTTTGAATTTTATGGATTTATGATGGATATAGGAAACTTCTGTTCCGATAAAAAGCCGGCTGCAGTAAATTGGATTGAAGGACGAGGTAAGTCTGTCGTCTGCGAGGCCATTATTAAGGGTGATGTTGTGAGGAAGGTTTTGAAGACAAGTGTGGAGTCTCTTGTGGAGCTTAACATGCTTAAGAACCTTACTGGTTCTGCCATGTCTGGAGCTCTGGGTGGATTTAATGCTCATGCCAGTAACATCGTCACTGCTGTCTACATTGCTACTGGCCAAGATCCGGCTCAAAATGTCGAGAGCTCTCATTGCATCACCATGATGGAAGCTGTTAATGACGGCATGGACCTTCACGTCTCTGTCACAATGCCTTCGATTGAGGTAATGTAATGAATCCTGCTGAGTCAAATTGTGTTAAATCCTGCTCCGACTTTATGGGATCATAGAAACTTGGAAAAAAGTAGAAGATACTTGTATCCTATACATACTTATGTGGTACTTGCACCCGAAATCGAGTAACATAATGGAAACTTAGAAATATGTTGAAGATATTTGTATTAGATACATACTTATTCGAGTTAAAACATTACCTGAGTATTCATGAAGTGCCTAATAATCTATAGATTACTGTAATGATCTATCTTTAGGTTGGCACTGTTGGTGGTGGTGGTGGAACTCAGCTTGCTTCACAATCAGCCTGTTTGAACCTCCTGGGTGTGAAGGGTGCAAGCAAAGAATCTCCCGGAGCAAACTCGAGGCTACTTGCAAGCATCATAGCTGGGGCTGTCCTCGCCGGTGAGTTGTCGCTGATGTCGGCACTTGCGGCCGGGCAACTAGTGAAGAGCCATATGAAATACAATAGGTCCAGCAAGGATGTTTCCAAGGCGGCTTCTTCCTGAAAAAATCGCAGTCTTTGTAGTAAGGTTTTAAGTAGAGACTTCCATCTATTTTATAATTAACTTTATTTATTTATTTATTTTGTTAACTAAGCCAATGTAAGCTGAGTTCTGAGATTTGTGTAAACTAATAGGATTGCTGATTGACCTCTTTTTCTCCCAATTCATTGATTCTACTTCTGTTGTTATATTTGGGAGGAAGGCATCGACTGCAGCTAGGGTGTTTTGAATATTTTGATGATTAAAATTATTATTATTTCAAATCATATTGTTTTTATAAATAATCAAAATAAAGTTAAAATATATAAGTTTATAAAAAATAATTAGGTGACCAAAACATAAATATGATAATAATTGAATGACCAAAAACGGGTGTTTCCATTTTATTAGTAATCCAAAAAAAATAATATATTTAAGGGTAAACTGTGTCGTTAGTCACCCAGTTCTTCCTATACTTTTTATTTTGATTATCTAATTACTTCTTTTCTAAAATTATATCTAAAATTACGTTTTAATCTTATTTTGATAATTCATCGTAAAAATATTAATGACTTTGATAATTCATCGTAAAAATATTAATGACGAAGTTGATGTATCACTATAAAATAATATCATATTATTATTGGAAAAAAAGTATAAAAACTAGTCAACAATTATGTTTTCTTAACCACTAGAGATTAAAATATAATTATAAACATGACTTCTTAAAAAAATAGTTGGTTACTGAAATATAACCTGGGGAATAGTGGGGTGAGTAAATCCTTAGTTTACCCTATATATAGTTGTAGTGCTTTGAGTTGAAAGTTGTTTAGACAATTCATCTCGAAATCAAAACACTCAGCAGCTAGGGACTTTGGGGGTTTGAGGCAGAGAGAAGAAGCTTTGTTAGCTCTTTCCCTATAGGTGAAATAAACATGCTTTCTTTCCTGGGTTTTGCTTTAGCTCTTCTTTTAATGAGTTCTGCTTTTATTTTAGCTTTATTCTTTTTCCCGCTTGTGTTTGTTTGTTTGAAATCTTAAAGATGAATTACGTGTGCCGAGTTCAATTTGTAAATTACTTGTTTTGCTAATCAGTGGCGGTATCGCAGTCGGCGAAAGTACTTGCTTTGTTCTGGGTAAATATGCGAGCTTTATCTGGATTCGTTGTTGACTTTGATTTGCTACTGTTGAAAATCTACCAAATGGGTTTTCTTTTTCTCGGGAACATCTCGTAAATTTTTGAGTTTTTTTTTTTAACTTTGCATCCTTCACTTGTTTGAATGCTTGAAAAGATTAATATTTTCTTCTAAAATCTTGCATGGAGTGAATGAGGCCTAGTCGTTCTTCAATTTTTTTTTTGGATGTTATTTGTGAGAAATTCGTTGCTTTTATAAATAAAATCTAATTCAGGTTATTGATTAAAGAGGAAACAAAGGGCCTGAGGTTATCATAAGATGGACACTGGAGGGAATTCGTTACCTTCGGGAGCTGATGGAGTGAAGAGGAAGGTGAGCTATTTCTACGATCCAGAGGTCGGCAATTACTATTACGGGCAAGGTCACCCTATGAAGCCTCACAGAATCAGAATGACTCATGCCCTTTTAGCACACTATGGGCTGCTTCAAAATATGCAAGTTTACAAGCCCTGCCTTGCCCGAGATAGGGATCTTTGCCGCTTCCATGCCGATGATTATGTGAATTTTCTCCGCAGCATAACGCCCGAAACGCAGCAAGATCAGCTCAGGCAGCTCAAGCGGTTTAATGTCGGTGAAGACTGTCCGGTCTTTGACGGCCTTTACTCCTTTTGTCAAACATATGCTGGTGGATCTGTTGGTGGTGCTGTCAAACTAAACCATGGTCTTTGCGATATTGCGATTAACTGGGCTGGTGGCCTGCATCATGCTAAGAAATGCGAGGCTTCGGGGTTTTGCTATGTCAACGATATTGTCCTTGCAATATTGGAACTTCTTAAGACACATCAGGTTGTTTTTGATACCTTAGTTCCTCGGTAGCTTTCTTCTATATTATCTAGAGGCAACCAAATCTTTGTCTCACGATGGGTGAACTTTAGGAAAGAGTTAAGCCATTGTGTGCTAGCACTTACTGATCCAAAGCTCGATTTCAGTACTCAAAAAATATAGAAAAGCTTAGACAAAGCCGCATATTTGGTTTTTCTAGCTTTCTTTAGAACTTTCTTCATATGCAAGAGACAACCTTGTATGTTGTATAGTTTCTCATCGATGTTGCTTCTTCTCTTTGCTGCAGCGTGTTCTTTATGTTGATATCGATATCCACCACGGGGATGGTGTGGAGGAGGCATTTTATACAAGTGACAGGGTTATGACTGTTTCCTTTCATAAATTTGGTGATTACTTTCCAGGCACAGGGGATATACGAGATATTGGATATTCAAAAGGGAAATACTATTCCCTGAATGTTCCTTTGGATGATGGAATTGACGATGAGAGTTACCATTACTTGTTTAAGCCAATTATGGGTAAAGTTATGGAAGTATTTAAGCCTGGTGCGGTGGTTCTTCAGTGTGGTGCTGATTCTCTATCCGGAGATAGGTTGGGGTGTTTCAATCTTTCGATCAAGGGTCATGCAGAGTGTGTTAAATTTATGAGATCATTCAATGTTCCCTTGTTGCTACTGGGTGGTGGTGGTTACACCATTCGGAATGTTGCTCGCTGTTGGTGCTATGAGGTAACATAACGTTTCAATCTTAATCTTAGAAGAACCATCTGTGATGTCCTCATGGTGGATGAGTTTATTAATAACAATCTCCATGTGAACAGACTGGAGTTGCACTTGGAACAGAAGTCGACGACCAGTTGCCTCAACATGAGTATTACGAGTATTTCGGTCCGGATTATACCCTTCATGTTGCTCCTAGTAATATGGAAAACAAGAATTCGCGCCAGTTACTTGAAGACATACGCAATAATCTACTGGAAAATCTCTCAAAGCTTCAACATGCTCCCAGTGTCCAATTTCAAGAAAGACCACCTGACACTGATCTTCCCGAGGTGTGTTCCATGGCTTCTTTATGTTATTTGATGAATTATTTTACCAGCTTCCTTTTACTTCCTCTATCTATTAGTCGAGATATATGTCATTTTCGACTTCGTTTTCAATCTTCTCAATACTTGCATGATTGCAGGCATTTTTATGTGTCCATTTTCGGCATTGCACTATGCTTTAAATCTCCTTTTTATTGTTAACTTTGTGTTAGTTTGCATTGATACATTTTCTCTGTTACTTGGGCTCGAGAATGAATGTCGTATATGGATAATTCAATTGTTTCCAAGTTTTAACACATTTGAGGATCTTTGGAAGGACATATCATATTCATGCTTAGGCATGCTTCGGACATGGATACTTAAAGAAAAGCAAGAATCGGAGTAACGATTTGTACATCTTACTAATTACATACACTACTTGGTGCTTATACTTGTTGCTTTTTAATTCATAAATATTCAGGCTGATGAAGATCAAGATGATGCAAATGAAAGATGGGATCCGGATTCAGACATGGAGGTTGATGAGAAGCGGTATATGCCTTTTAAATATAAAAACATGTTCAAAATCTTCACCCGAACCTGTCTTTAATGCATATTATTTTCATCTTTTCTGTTCACTCATCACCTTCACAATCATTCTGCAGGCCTATTCCGACCAGAGTAAAGAGAGAAGCAGTTGAACACACGAGAAAAGATTCGGTATGCTTTAAGCTGTAAATGTTCGATTTTGTTCATGATTGTGAGAGTGAGACTTAAGGCATTCACAATGCTATTCTTACCCTTTTTTTTTCACTTAATGCTTGTTTTGACGGAAAACTTCGTTCCGGCTTGCATCCCATCAGGGGCTCCAAAAGGGGCTGCAGAGCAAGCTAGAGGGTTTGACATTGCAACAAACGAGATTGCAAGTACGAAGGTAACGTAAAATACACATCTGCATCCAAATTGTGATTTTGTATAAAATATAGCAGGACCAGACTCCGAAACTGGTATTCTGAACTTTGAAAAATTCAGTCTGTAGATGCTCGGCCGATGACTATCGATGAACCAACTGTGAAAGTCGAGTTAGAAACATCGAACAAAGCATCCGATCAGATGTACCCGAAGCCCTAAACCGAAACCTTTCCAATCAGTGCTGGATGTAACTTGTGTGCATTAGCATTTCCCAACGTTCTAGCCCCCTCTCGTTTGCTGATCGGTTTAGATCTGTAGAAGCCAATGAAAACTTCAGAGGTCTCGGTAATTTGATTTGTTCCTCTTGGATTCGAATATTAAATTTGCTATTTGCAACTTATTTACCTATGATTTCTTGAATGTATGTATACATTAATATGCTTTGATTTTGATTCAAATGAAATCTGAATCCGCTATTCATATCTTAGTGAACATGTAAAAAACTATTCGGCAACAGGCGCTAGCCTCGGTCTTCGTTTTTCACTCCTTCGTGTTCGAGATCTTTGACCGTTTGTCTTCCAAAATATAATGAGATGATCAGCGTACAATAGTAATGGCATAACTTTCAATATCTGAATAAATTTAATACAATAATCATAACTTCAAAAACTAAATCAGTTAATTATTTTTAATTTTATAAAAATATCTTAAATTTTAAAGTCGAGTTGGTTCGTATATTTAAATCTTATAAATTTAATTATAGTTATTAATATTATTTATTTGTAAATTACCATTTATTAATCTGAAAATAATTATTAATAACCGAATTTTAGATGGTGTTATCGATCATTCGAAATAAAATACAAGTGAGGGCTGAGTAAAAATAATATCAAAGTAAAAGAGTACATGATCCTTTTACTTATCCCGAAACAGGAGTAAAACTAGACATATTTCCCTCTGTATTTCGGTTTTGATTCTTTACTTTCTTTCGAATCACCTGATTCGGCATCTGCCGGACTGAAAACAGAAGAATGAAGATTACCATTTTCTAACCATTTGAGATGATTCTCCTTGAACTCCAAATGCTTTATCCTAGCTGCTAAAGCGACTTCCTCGGTGTACGAGGATGTCTTCACCATGGTGAGCAAAACACGACTGTACCTTGAGCTGAGCATCTGCTCCGAAGTGGCAACCAACTTGAAACAAGAATGTTCAGGGAAATGGTTTTCTACATAACCATCTTCTCTCAACATGGGATAGAAGAACACGAGCTGCCATTCATTACGAGCATCCTAGCAGCAAGGTCCAGCAAGTCATGCACACACTCAAATAAGGTATAAGCAGCAGTTGACGGTATATGGTCTGCCCTTTTGTCATCTGGGATGGTGTAAGGGCCAACAATCCCCTTGAGCAATTTTCGACCCCCGGTCTTACGTCCACCAGCTCGAACACCATATGGGGGATCGCAAATTATTGCATCAAACACCTATGCAGGAAAAAAAAAGAAAGAAACTATACTTAGATCAAAGAAAGCACATAAACGGTGACAAACTAAAATGATCTATTCTAAAAACTTCAAAGATCCTCTCTAGTCACTCAATTGTTGCTTTGAAGCTTGAGCCATCCTTTCCTAGGCTAAATCTCATAAGACCAATGTTCCTTAAAATGCCTTGGCAAAATAAGAAAAGTACATCTACATGCAATGTCAACCCGTGTGTGACTGTGTGCATGTTTTTCGAACAAAACAATACCGAGAGGATCTACCGAGTTCAAAAGAACTAAGAATACACTGACAAATTCAACAAGCAACTTTAAAAGCAATTACCTCCTTTAATCCAGGACGCCAAGGAGGAAGGTTGTTATCTGCCCTCAATAAACAAATTGGCATTGGTAATCCATACTACAGAGCAGCAAACAGGTATATATACAATCTCAAGCACATCTATTGCAGGAAAATAAAAGCAAAAACAAAAAGATGAATTACTTATCACGTGGCACGTTCACCTGTTTGAAGTTACTCCAGACGTTACAGTCAGGGCCATGACCATCACGAACTACTCTAATGTCAATATCGGCACCCTGAACGAATCCAAGAAGTTGTCAATAGAACAAAGCTATATGAGTTCAAGGAGAAAATGCAATACCATTGTCATTGCTCCAAAGTGAGCTGCAGAAACAAGAATGCTCCCAGTGCCAACAAAAGGGTCATAAACAAGTTTCCCAGGCGCAGCCTGAGCTTGATTGGCCATTAAGAAAGCTATTTCTGCATCCATTGCTGTCGGGCCAAGGTAATTTCGAGTTTTCAATTGATACATGGGTATAAGTTTCCTGTCAGCCACACCAACTTCCCTGCCAAAAAATATTCTCCTTTGAACAACTGGCGGAAGCCCATTATTCGTTTCATGTGCATCAGTTTCCATTAGCCAAAAATTGTGATCAGGATTCTTTAAATTAACTCGACCCTGCAAACATGCTGATTAGTGTTAGAAACCCCTTTGACAGAAGCTACAGAAAAAACATTTCCAATTCTTTGGTTTAAACTACAGCAGTAGTAGCAAGCCATTCGATTTGATGTTCGAATTATCAAATAACTGGACTTAAAAGTCGAGTATTGGAAATCGAGGCAAACAATCCTAATCTAGCATTTTATATCGAATTAAACTTAAACCATAATAACGAGACTAGATCAAACTCAAGTTGAGCTGAGCCACAAATTCCAAATCAAGCTGAAACTCAAACTTCCTAGAGCATATTATTCGTAACATTTTCAAAGTAAATCGGTTAACCATACCTTGAAAGGGATATAAGAGAAACCCTGAATCTGTTCATTCTGTTCCTGAAGGCTCAATACTTTCCCAAAACTATCAACAGTAATCTTAAATGTACTTTCGGGCGACAAATAAGGCAACTTCCGCTCATCCGGATAGCTTTTCACGGCTTCTTCAAGTTCTTCATAGTCATTTCCCTCACCCCAAAGTTCATAAATCCCCTTCACAAGCAGACCTAAAAAAATCCCAAACAAAAGGGGTGTCAGATTTCAACAACGAAAACCCGTTTTAGTAGCCCAAAATAGAGAGAGAGAACAGAAGGAATTGGTATTTACTTCGGTTTGCGATGTTCCTGGCGATTTCTTCGGAAGGTAAATGAACGAAATGGAAAGGGGAATCAGGGTGGTGGTCTTTAGGAAGCCTCCATCGTAGAGCCCTGTCCCGGGGATGGGGATCGAAGCTCCGCTTGTCCCCGAAAGCACCAAAGAGTTCGGCCAATGACTCAAATTCGGGTTTTCTGTAATCCAAGAGTCTGTGGTAAAATACGCATAGGTACCACATCGGCTGTGTTTTGGAGAAGAAGCTCGAGGAGGACGGAGAGAGCTTGAGCTGCTGAACAAAGATCGGGCTAAAATGATTTGTAAAACTTAAACCCAAAACCCTGGACTGTTGTTATGATAAGACGGCGCCGTTTCTTGATTGAATTGGACGTGATCTCAAACCATATATATATATACGAGTTGATTTTAATTAATTTATTTTATTTAAATGTAACTGTTATTTTATTAGTTGTTTACGTAGAAATCGTTCAACAACTGAACTTTTGGTCTAAGATTTAATGATAAAATTTCATGGTATTATTCAATTGGATTAGTTTTTCATTTTTTTAAAAAAAATATGATTATCGAGTTCTAATAAATTAAGTAAATGGACTAACCTTGAAATTTTTGTATAATAGGAGGATAAAATATATAATTAGACCAACTAAAAAATGAAAAATTTGTGATCTTTTAAACCAATTGCCCGAGCAAATCAACACCTGATAAAAGAAATAAGGGTAAATTATACATTTAGTTCATAAATTGTCAGTTTCAATCTATTTTAATATCTAAACTTTCAATTTTTTCAAAATCACACTTAACGTTTAATTTTTGTTTCGCTTTTTAGTACATTTCCCTTAAAAACACTGGTTTTTATGAGTAAATTAAATCATTCATTCATCACTCCTATTTGGTACTAAAGTTTAAAAAATTTCAATTTAACTATTCAACTTTTAAATTGCTCCTATTTTAATTACTTAATTTATTTTATTAATATTTTTTGTGATATGATATTATTATTATTATTTTATTAATATATAATTAAAAATAAAAATAAAAACAAATTTTAAAATTAAAATGATTAAATTAGAAGTAATTTGAAAGTTAAGAAATTAAATTAAAAAAATATACTTTAATAACCAAAATAGGAGTAAAAAGATAATTTAGTGATGAATGATACTATTTACTCATAAAAAAAAGGTGTCACATGCAAAGCACGCGTTAAGATTTTAACGACAATGTACTAAAACAAAATAAAATTAAATATGATTTTAAAAAAAATTAAAAGTTTAATAAGTACTAAAATAGATTAAAATTAATAATTTAAATATTAAACACGTAATTTACTCAAATAAATCCAAAATTGGGCACGGGTTCAACTTTCGAGACAGATATTATAACATAATTTTCCGGGGCAAATTGGGTTCGAGTGGAATAAGAATATTTCAGATTGAAGTCGGGCCACCAAAAATTCAACCCGCCCCATGCCCTTTAACTCATCATCTGCTATGTCGAAACCATGTCCGAGCCCGATACATCCCTTACGAAACTGTCAATTCTTCATAGTCAAAGGCAATTTAGCTCATACTCCAGCAGGTTGAAGAAAGGAGTAAGTAAGAGGAAGAAAATTCTCAAACCAATATGCAAAGACTAAAATAGGGACCTCAACGAAGTATCCGGTGCCGATATCAACGAGAACCTTGTCGGCCTCGTCGATTGTGCCAGGAACATAGAGCGAAGCGGTGAGAGGAACCAGTATTTTCTTCCTAAAATATGTCAAACCAATTAAACAGAAATTTTATTACTATAAAAAAGGGAAATGAAAGCAGGTGATTCGATAGAAGATGGATGAAGGGTGGACCTTGGGGGCAGAGGGAAAGGTCGTGGAGAGCAGCAAAGGCGTTCTCAAGGCGGCCGGTGGCTGTGCGGATGTTGTTAAGGCTGTCTTGTAAGAGATTGACTTCGATATCAGCTTGTTCTTTCACTGCTTTGAGCTGATCCAAGCTCATCTTCTCCAAGTCCGCCATTCTTCTCACTTGCAGGCTTCCTGCTACTCTTGACGACGCCATTATTTTGCTTTCTCTTTCAGCTAATCGCTCACTTTCTCTCTAGAGAGAAACCTAGAGATTGCAAAAATCGACAACAGAAGATAGAATCCAAATCCAAAATCTCCGAACCCTATTTCACAAATTTTAAAAAAATCGAATCGAATCGTAAACGCATGATAACTTCTGTTTTAGTTTCATAATATTAAAAAGGTAAACTACATGTTTAGTACTCCAACTATCATTTTGGTTACGTTTTGATCACACAACTATTTATTTAAAAATCATACGTAATGTTTAGTTCTGGTTTCATTTTGGTCACCTGCCATTATGATAGTAAGTGTTTATTACTATGCGATTCTTGTTTATTGTTTGAATTTATGGCAGTGTTAAAGAGAGTTTACTTAAGTTTTACTAATTTGCAGGAGGAACTGTTACCATAGAGAACCATGGACAAGGCGGTAACTCTCAGGTACTAATTCTTTTCAGTATGATTCTCGACCTGTGTTAGCTGTTTATATGTTAACCTTTAGGTTTGTTTGTGCAAATTTTTTTTAATACCAGATGAATAGCTTGCAATCATAGGCCATGTATTGATATCTCAATTCATTGTCCTCTCACCTTCTCTGCTTTGATGCCTCTTTGGTCCACTTTCTCATATGGGAAATGTGATTTGAAGTTGTCATAAGTGAAGTATTGCACTTGGAACTGAAACTGATTTTAAAATGGATTAGTTGAGGTTATCTGGATTGTGGTCTCCGTACAAGTGTATCTACTACTTAAGTTACTTGGACTTGTGTGTAAGTTTTGGACATATATTCATATTTTCTCTTCTCTTCCATGTCAGACATAAGTTTTCTTTTATTAACGTGCTGAGAATTATAACTCTGCACTGCTTGAAAGGTGAAGATCATTGTTATATATATTTATTGTTAGATTATATATATTCATTTGATGCCTGTTGTCATTCTTTCACTCTAGTCGTTGGAGAACAGAAGCTAGTCTTTATTCTGTACACTGCTCATAGTGTGAATTGACTGAATTTTCATGAAATAGCTAATGCATGCTCAAATTAACTTGACGTTTGCTTGCAGGAGAGAGCATGATTTTTCTTCCCGCTTATCTTTTTCCTTTAAAGCAGTGCTGTGTGTTATTATTTCTATTATTTCAAGTTGTTAGCCCTTCCATTACATGCATTTGTAGGATACATGGGAGGAAGTTGATCCTGATGAGCTCTCATATGAGGTAAGCTTCCATTTAGGTTGGAGTGCGTTAAAATTTTGCTCAAGCACTCATACCATGCTTGATTCTATCATTCAGGAACTCCTCGCACTCGGTGAAGTAGTTGGGACCGAGGGCAGGGGGCTTTCAGCTGATTCAATTGCATCCTTGCCTTTGGTAACATACAAGACAGGAAATAGACAAACTGGAAGCAACGATTCGTAAGTTCGAATGCTTTAGTTTTGTTTTTTTTATGCCTGAACGTTTTTCTCTAGATGATGGAACTTGTAACCAAGTTTTCAGGTGTGTCATCTGCTGTGTAGACTACGAGGATGGTGACTCTTAACGTCACTTTCTTGCAAGCATTCATATCATCCCGAGTGCATAAATAATTGGTTGAAAATAAACAAGGTATGGCTATTTATATTTCCGTTTAACCGCTTGTAGTTTGTTCCCGTGTTACGATTTTGTTAATATTATATGTGTTGCAATTCCGGTTTATAAGACTCCTTCATATTGTCACGTTTTGTATTTTGCTGTATTACTGTAGTCTGCCCTGTTTGTAGTGCTGAGGTCTCAACTTGAAGGCAAAGCTAGTATTTTCGGACAGACATCACCGTGGAGCCACAACATAACTGCTTGTTTTTAGCAGAATGTTCCACCTCTTTTGTATTTGAAAATAAACTTGTATCAATTCTCTTTATTTAACTCTTTTGTGTTGAACCACCTTTGGAATTATTTTCCTTTCTTTTTATGGCCGCTGGCTGGATTTTTACTTGGGAAAAATGGTGCCCAATTTTCCTCATTAAATTTTGATTGATCTTCTCTCATCTTCTCAATTTCGTCCTTGGATTTTTTTACATCAGTCCTTCAAATTGGTTACTTTTCCTAAAATAGATTTTGAATTTTAAATATATATTTTAAAATTTTAATAATTTTTCAGAAAATTTCCTTTAAGAAGTATGGCACATGACAGAACTATAATATGTCACTTGATGATAAAATTACAGGAAAAGATATTAAATTTAATGATTAAAATTAATTTAATTTTTAATTTAAGAATTCAATCAAGTGTAAAAATAATTTAAGAAATTAATTGATCTTTTAAGAAAATTGAGGACACATTTGATGTAGATGCATGTAAGGTGATTACGGAATTTTGATTTATTAACATTAAATGATTTATTAAAATATTTTATAAAAAAAAACTCTTATGTTATTTTATTATTAGGCAAAATAATGATAATTTTTAAATAATAACTGAAAATATTCCTAATGAAAGAAAATAATAATTGAAGGTCAAAACCGGCAACCGGTTGTAATCCCTTTCGGTTTTAGAACTCTTCCGACAGTCCCAACAATATGGGAGACTTAAAAAATCTCCAATCTCCAACAAATATCTAATCCAATTCACAAAATATCTTCTTTCTTCGTCCTTACAAGCATTTTTTTTAATCCCTTTGGATCAAAAGCACACAACCAAGTCAAGAACAATGCCTGCGACATGCTTGCCTTTGTACGCCTCTGCAACTTCCATATAAACAATAGCTTAACCCCAAAGCCATCTTCTCTCGGCACCAAGAGATGGCCTTTGTGTCATCATCATCATCACCGTCATCGTCTTTTGTGTGTAAAGCTTCGGCTAATCCGACCGCTTCTTCGATATTGGATTTCGATCTTTACGATATCCTGGGCATCGATAGCTCCTCCGATCAATCCCAGATCAAAACGGCTTACCGTTCGTTGCAGAAGCGTTGCCATCCTGATATTGCCGGACCTACGGGGCACGATATGGCTATCGTTCTTAATGAAGCTTATTCGGTTCTCTCTGATCCCGGTTCTCGTTTGGCTTATGACAAGGTCCGTTGCTCGTTTTCTTCGTTTCTTGCAGTTTAAGTCACTCATTTTATTTGTTTTTTGCGGTTTAAGTTACTCGGATTGTCTGTCCGACACATGTGTAATGTATCGGACATGGTTACGAGTACGAAGATTGAGAATGCTTGAAAACTGCAGGAACAAGCAAAGATGGCCGAGCTGAGGGGATATACAGGGAAACCTTTATACTCGGTGTGGCTTGGATCGGAAAGCGAGCAACGAGCTGTGTTTGTGGACGAAATCAAGTGTGTTGGTTGCTTGAAATGTGCTTTGCTCGCCGAGAAATCGTTTGCGATCGAGTCCATGTATGGACGAGCTCGAGTCGTCGCTCAATGGGCCGATTCCGAACATAAAATCGCCGAAGCTATTGAAGTTTGCCCCGTTGATTGCATTTCGTGAGTATCTTGATCCTGAAATTGCTTTCTGGGTTCCATAGTCTCTTACGATATTGTTTTCCAGCATTGTGGAGAGATCGGATCTCGCCGCGCTCGAGTTTTTAATGTCAAAGCAACCTCGAGGCAATGTTCGAGTCGGTGTTGGAAATACGGTGGGCGCCCGTGTCTCAAACATATTTGTTGATGTGAAGAAGTTTCAGAACAGATACTTTGATGCCATGGACAAAGCTGCTACTAATGCATCCGAGGTATGGACCAATTGATATAAATACACTCTGTTTTTATTGAAATGAATGTTGGAACCAACTTGCATTGTTTACTTCAGGAGGTGGATCGTCGTCGAGAAGCAAGGATGTCGGTGATTCACGCGATCAAATCGATTTCGAGATGGTGGTACTGGCAATCACCCAATGCAGGAGCACCAACGACTGGATCTGAACTAAACTTGATACGCATTTCCCGAAAGTCATCCGAACCGAACATCAACAAACTCCGTGACGCTGCTGCTGCTAGAAAACAAGCAAGGGAGAGTCCGACAACGAATGGAACCCGAGTCCCGTCGAGTTATTTGTACGACGACGAGTATTGGATCCCATCAAGACAAGCTCTTCCAGCTTCAATTGAAAACAACAGTAGCTCCAGAGTTGCATCGAAGCCTTCGAAAACTACCGAGAGCAGCAAAGTGAACAACCGGAAATACGAAAAGGATAGGAGGACGAGAAGCTCGATGGGGTGGGGAATCCCAATGGTGGCTGCAACGGTTGCTGCTGTTATAGTTCGGCTGCAAATCGGAGACAGAGTGGCCGGAGAAATAACCGAGCACGTAGGCGGCTCGTTGGCACTAACATTGGTTAATAGCTCATGGTCACAGGTTATTCTAGCAGGGATAACATGGTATTTGATTGCATCAACAATGGTGGAACTAATAGAAACAATAAGGAACAGATAAAGAGAAATATTTTCATAGCTTGATATACAATGTATAAAGTACATGTTATTCCGACGGAGTATTTCATTTTCTTAAAATATACTCGTCCCGTATGAGAGCGATTCTCTCAAATTTCATCCACTAAATTAATTGATTGTCGGTAAATTCTTATTATTTTAAACCTAAATAATTGATTCCTTTTTATATTAATTTCGTCTTTGCTTAAATATATGGGTAAATTACATGTTTAGTACTAAATTATAAGTTTTGATTCGTTTTAGTATTTAAGCTTTCAATTTTTTCAAAATCATACCTAAAGTTTAGTTTTTGTTTCATTTTAATATCTCGTTCAAATTTAGCGTTAAATTTTGAGTTCTTTTTTAAAGTTTGGGTACTAAACGGACTAAAATTGATATTTTAGGTACTAAAAGCATTAAGTTTTTAACTGTGAATACTAAAATGAAACAAAAACTAAACGTTAGGTATGACTTTGAAAAAAATAAAAATTTATGTACTTAAACTTGAGGTATTAAATATGTAGTTTACCCTAAATATATTTATGTATATATTAATTGTTTTTTACGAAAGAAAATGGTGTTGTCAACATCATTTTATGGGTCGGCATGTAAAAAAAACAATTAAAATTACAATAATGTATTGCTCTTCTATCATTTCGTGTCTTTTTTAGGGTAAACTACATAGTTATTCATGTCACTAATGTTTAAGATAATTTTATTTTTCTAATAGATATTTTAAAAGTTACAAATCAGTTACTAACATTATCGATTGGTTATAAATTATTAGTCAACATTAATAGACTTTAATGGGAATGGCGGAAAACATATCTGACGTGTTAAATGCTTATGTTACTTTGTTGACCAGACTGAGGGCCACTTTTTAGAGTAAACCCATTAGAGCAGTCCCAAATAGGCTAAACTCTCGAGATAACGTTTCGAACAAATTATTTCACGAGATAATGCTCTCCCAAGATTAATTGCTCAAATAGGGTGAAATCTACAGTGTTGGCTGTAGGTCGTCATGCTATCCGGGCGACCTACTAGGTCGCCATGTCTTCCCGGCGAGCTATGAGAGAGATTGCATGTGCCATGCACGTTCCAACACTTTGGGCATCCGAGGCCATCCGACCGAGGGCATCCGACCGAGCTATGCGAGACATCCGAGGTCAAAAGGAATCACGCGAGGAGCAGGAGGGAGTGCGAGAGGAGTAGGAGGGAGTGCATGGCGACCTACAAGGTCGCCGGAGGGCATGGCGACCTATGACCTATGCTTGGGGACGTGCATGGCTGGCCACGTAGTAGGTCGTCCGGAAATCATGGCGATCTAAGGCCAACACGGTAGATTTCACCCTATTTAAGCAATTAATCTTGGGAGAGCATTATCTCGTGAAATAATTTGTTGAGAACGTTATCTCGAGAGTTTAACCCCCAAATAAGGCCAAAAAGAAAGCTCCGGCAGTTACCATTCCTGCGTCCACCCCTGGACCTTGTTTGCAGAGCTGGTTATAAACCGGTGCCAAATCGACGGTTACCAAGACACGCTTTACACACATTCCAACAGCCAATTCTACAGAGATTTCACCATTACCGGAATACCGGCACGATCGACTTCATATTTGGCTACGCAGCCGTGGTGCTCCAAAACTGTAAGCTCGTGGCAAGGAAGCCCATGGACAAGCAATCAAACATGATCACAGCACAAAGCAGAATAAACCCGAACCAAAACACTGGCACCTCGATCCAAAGCTGCAACATAATATCAAGTTCTGATCTTCAACCAGTTGAAGGATCCAAAACATATTTGAGACGTCCATGGAAGGAGTATTCGAGAATTGTGATCATGCAATCATTCATTGATAATCATATTGATCCTTCAGGGTGGTCAGTTTGGAGTGGGGATTTTGCACTGAAGACGTTGTACTGTGGCAATTGGCGAGTACATGAATAAGTTATAAGGAACCAGGAGCAGGAACTGATAAACGAGTGAAATGGTCTGGATTTCGTGTCATTGCCAGCGCAGAAGAGGCCAACAAATTCACAGTGGCTCAGCTTATACGAGGAGGATCTTGGTTGAAACCTACTGGAGTCACATTTACTGAAGGGCTGTAAAAATAAATAGCTAGGGCTTGGGTTCTTTTAACCTTGTATTTGTTTTTAATAAATGAAAAGCTCTCTTTCATCTCTTTAACTGTAACACGACTTCTCTGGTTCAATGATTCCCTTTCATCTTTTTTTTCCCAAATACAACACCATTAGTTTCTTAGGTGAAGGAGATCTTAAATACAAAGATCTTAGAGATGAAAAGAAGCCTTTTTTTAATAGAGAATCAAAATTATATGTTTATAAGGATGAGTAGACCTCTCGTTTTTCCTACCAAACTCAATGATAACAAACAAGTTCCAGGGGCGGTCGTCGGAGTGGTAACTGCCGGAGCTTTTTTTTTTTTTGCCTTATTTGCAGCGGCTCTAATGGGTTTACTCTAAACGGTAGCGGTCAACCTAGTCAACGAAGTCATGTAAGCACTTAACGCGCCAGGTATATTTTCCGTCACGCCTGTTCGAGTGACCAGTTTGTAACCAATCAATAATATTAGTGACCGTTTGTAACTTTTGAAATATCAGTGGTAAAAACTAAAACTACCTCAAACATTAGTGACCAACTGTGTAATTTACCTCTTTTTTATTATATATCAAAGACTAAAAAAGTTTATAAAAAAATGTTTTTCAAATAAAGAATAAATAAAATAAGCATTATTTCTATTAATTGTTTGTTATATATAATATTTATTTAGTGTTAAATTATTTTTTAGAATCACATTTAAATAAATTAGCCAATCCAATTTTCTCAACCTCAATTACACAATCAATATCTTGAATTTTAAACTTTAGTATTTGTAATTCATTTCTATTACTAAAAACAAATTAAAAATACAATGGTCGGATGTTGGCTACTTGGCTTACTATTACCTAACAATCGGAAATCAGGATGTTCCCAATGAATCATAAGGTAAATTACACATTTAATACCTAAATTATTAGTTTTAATCGGTTTAGGTACCTAAACTTTCACCTTTTTTAAAATTATATCTAACGTTTGATTTTATTTATTTTAATACCCGCTGTTAACAACTTAACCTCTTTAATATAAACTATCAGTTTGATCCGTTTTAGTACTAAACTTTCAATCTTTTCAAAACTTAACATTAAATTTTGAATGGAGTACTAAAATGAAACAAAAAAACGGAAGTTTTTAACGGCTGGGTACCAAAATGAAAGAAAAACTAAACTTTAGATATGCTTTTGAAAAAATTGAAAGCTTAGGTACTAAAACAGATTGAAAGTGATAATTTAAATACTAAATGCATAATTTACCCTAAACTATATTATTTGTCAACTTTTAAATATAACAAATAAAAACATATAATATTCGACGTGAGAAGCTCAACTTGATTTGTTAGAAAATCTTGGAATTAAAACGTGAAGCCTACCACTATCACCCGACACCACGTAACCAAATCTCACACAGATTTTCAGACATGTTTTCCTATAAAAACAACCAATGTTCCCCAGCTATGTTTTGTGTATCTCAATTTTGAGGCAATCATGAAAACCATAAACTTTGGTGTTTGCCTTATCCTGGTTGGATTACTTACCTATATGGGGGCGATGGCGACGGGCGAGTCCAACTACGGAGAAGCTCTCGACAAGACCTTCATGTTTCTCGAGGCACAAAGGTCCGGTAAGCTATCGTCGGACCGCCGAGTCAAGTGGCGGGGCGATTCCGGCCTCAAAGACGGGTCTCATCAAAATGTGGATTTGGTAGGAGGATACTATGATGCAGGGGATCATGTGAAGTTTGGACTGCCAATGGCATTTAGTGTAACAATGCTTGCATGGGGAACTATTGAATATAGGAAGGAGATTACCGGTTTAAACCAGATGGGACATGCTTTGTGGGCAATCAGATGGGGCACTGACTACTTCATCAAGGCTCACACTCAGCCTAATGTTCTTTGGGGACAGGTTCGAATCTATGTTACTCGGATTCAGATGTCGCACACGTAATCGAACACCGTAGGATATTTAATTTATGTTGTAAGGTTTGATCAGGTTGGCGATGGGAACTCCGATCACTACTGTTGGGAGAGAGCTGAGGACATGATGACTCCGAGAACCGCGTTCAAGCTCGACCAGGACCATCCTGGCTCGGACCTTGCAGGTGAAACTGCTGCTGCTTTAGCTGCATCGTCAATGGCTTTCAAGCCTTACAACTCTTCTTACTCTGATCTCCTCTTAGTTCATGCCAAACAGGTAAAGAGCATCTATTGATCTTAACAATTCTATTGACAGAAATAAACCCGGATTTTCTCTGACTTTTAGAACTTCATATGTTGCAGCTTTTCTCGTTCGCGGATCGATTTAGAGGCCTATATGACGATTCCATCCCGAGTGCAAAGCAGTTTTATAAATCGTCGGGCTATTCGGTAAGTAATAGAGAATCCATGATCGTCTATAGGTACAGAAATCGACTTTTTCTGATCAAGTTTTAATTGTTTCTGTTTGAAGGATGAACTATTGTGGGCTGCGGCATGGCTACTCCGAGCAACCGGCGAGGAGCAATATCTGAAGTATGTTGTGGACAATGGTGCATACATGGGTGGAACTGGTTTGGCTGTCAAAGAGTTCTCTTGGGACAACAAGTATGCTGGTGTGCAAATCCTTCTTTCTAAGGTAAAATAAGATTATTCGTATCTTAGCATCTACAATCGTTCCCTTATCCTCAAAACTCCGAACATATAAACGATTGCACAAACGTCTAAAGATCGGTGTTGTCATGGCAGGTATTAATGGAGAAAAAAGACGGTGCGTGTGCTTCGACATTGAAGCAATATCAGGCAAAAGCAGATTACTTTGCTTGTGCTTGTATGCAAAAGAACGATGGCTACAACGTCCAACTGACCCCTGGTTCGTATTTGTTCAATGAAAACACTTATTTCCGAATGTTGCAATAACAATGATGCTAACTGAACTAAGACTCGTAATCTTAATCTTTGAGTATTTTTTTACCAGGAGGTTTGATGTATGTGCATGAATGGAACAATATGCAATATGCCTCAGCTGCTTCATTTCTTCTTGCTGTTTATTCTGATTCTCTCTCTGCTGCAAATGCCAAACTCACTTGTCCCGACGGTCAAGTTCAATCTCGCGACATCCTGGATTTCGTCAAGTCGCAGGTACGTCAAAACCCGAGATTTAACTCAATTGGTTCATGCGGACTTTCTTAAAACACGGTTGAATCCGAGTATCCGGCAAAATATTTGATGCATGTCCAAAGATATATGGCCAGAAACATCGAATACGCTTATATCCGACACTCGCATGCAAATCCAACTAACAACATGTATAGGCTCTAATATTGCTTGTATTTGATGCACAGGCTGATTACATTCTAGGCAAGAATCCCAAGTCAATGAGCTACATGGTTGGCTACGGACCGAGTTACCCAACCCACGTCCACCACAGAGGAGCATCCATCGCCTCAATCTCGATTCTTCCATCGCCAGTGAGTTGCGTCCAAGGGTTTGATGCCTGGTATCGCCGCCGTGAAGCGGATCCAAATGTAATACATGGAGCTTTAGTCGGAGGGCCCGACCAGAATGATAATTTCGATGACGAACGTTCAAATTATGAGCAAACCGAGCCTACAATTTCTGCCTCTGCTCCTCTTGTTGGACTCTTCTCTAAGCTCGAAAGCCTATACAGAAATACAAGTAAGAACGAAATTAACTCGACAATGATCAAACATAGTTCAAATAGTTTATGACCACAAAATATCTCGTTTACACCGTTTTTAACTTGAATTCTTACAGAACTGAACCATAAAGGATCAACAACGAATAGCCAGCCAACACAAAGTGAGTAGGCAAAGGATTTTCCTTTCTTAATCTAAACAACGTTTTTGTTCCCTTTTCTTCTCCATTTTCATCTAATCAAAGTTTATATTTTTAAATTCGGCAGAATACCATCGCCTGCAAACGCCGGTAAATAGCTCTGTATCATCAGGTACTAAAAAAAACATTCCTTGTGCTTGATATTCAAGTCTTCGTAACTCTTTCTCTATTCTCAATCATTCGTTTCGCAATTGTTCAGGTCTGACAGTTCAATTTGTCCACTCCATAACCAGCAAATGGAACGTCGGGAAGACGACATACTATAGACACAAGGTGACAATGAAGAACACCTCGCAAAAACGGATAACTGACGTTAAACTGATGGTTCAAGAACTGACAGGGCCGATATGGGGGCTGTCTCCGACGGCAGTTAAAAATACATACGGGCTTCCACAATGGCTTAGGGTGCTGAAACCAGGCTCCGAGTGCAGTTTTGTTTACGTTCAGCAAGGCCCCCAAGCCCAGGTTTCACTGCTCAGCTATCAATACCTTTGATTCTGCCTCGGGGCAAAAGGCAAAATTTGTGGTTATGGATCAAAATCAAATTATTAACTTTTGGAAGTTCAAAAGTGTAATTTAATTACAAATTTTCCAAGAGATTAAAGAGAGAACAGATAATATAACATTTCCAGAAAGACACAAAACAAACGGGAAAATTTTCTCACTTGCAAAAATAACTAAAATGTAGGCAAAATTCTGGTAACTTAACAAACAAGGAACTTAATATTGTGAAAAATTACAGGCATCTAAGCAAACAAGGCACTTAAAATTGTGAGGAATTCGACATAACGATTAAGAGTTTAATCTAAACAAATAACATTTAACCATACGAAGCCACTTGGAACAACTCCCACACTTCATTAATCCTCATTGTCAAAAGTGGTCTTCTTTCCTGCAATCAAAATTACATAATTAATTCATTATCTATTAGATAAGATAAAAAGAAATTAACAATAAACACAAGTATAAAAAACACCTGTGCCAGCAGCAGCAAGGTTTGGCTTATTATAAGGTGTTCCACGTCCACCTCTGCCACCACCAAATCGACCACCTCCACGCCTGCCACCTCGGCCACCATCCCTTCCACCACGCCCACCGCGCCCACCGCTATCCCTTCCTCCACTCCATCCACCACTCCTTCCACCTCTTCCACTGCCTGGACCACCACCAAAATCACCTTTCGGTTTTGCCTCATCCACATTCAAGGAATAATCATTAAGTTTCGAACCATCAAGTTCTAGAGCTTTGTTCAAACTATCTTCATCCTTGAAATCCATGTACGCAAAACTGCAATTGATTGCATATGATCAGATATATCACTAAAAATTCACAAGAATACTTGCAATGTATCAAAATTTTTGTTCAATGCAGTATGCAGATATGGTATGCAACTTCTGAATACAGTATACATCTAGCAAGAATACTTCCAATATATCAAAATTCCAAGATACTAACCCTTTGACAGCACCAGTTTCTCTATCTGTTGGTACGGCCACTCTAGAAATCTCACCACAAGAACCAAAGTGCTCTTGCAAGGAATTCTTAATCTGAAAATATTTTGGACAAAATAGATATAAATGCAAACAAATTTCAAAACTAGGACAGGAAGAGCAACAAAAAGCTAGTACTCAAAGCAAGCCACTAACCTCATACTCATCGAGAGATTGATCAAATCCTCTAACAAATATTGTTCGAGATTGACTTTTCCCACCTTTCTGAAATGAATTGTTCTCATTGCTGAGAATCAGTTGAACACATTAATCCAACTACACTAGAACAGGGGACCAAAAGACATAAATATACACATCAATACAAATTGTGAGATAGGTAATTACCCGCTGTAAGTTGTATGTACACCCCTTTCACGAGCCAAATCAAGTCTAACAGCACGATTCAGCAAATACTCACCATTCAATTGTAGAGCCTACAAAAAAGATCATTGCAGAAAACATATAAACGATTTAGCTTATGCATCTGACATCCAGGTTAGATCAGAAACTAAGTCAACAAAATCTACCTTTTGTGCAGCCTCTGCGGTACCAAATTCAACATGCCCATACCCCTTAAAGTTCCCTTCATGGTCAGAGGAAAAACGAACCTCAACAACTTCACCAGCATCTTTGAAGAAATTCTTCCTACAATATAAGAATAGAGAAGATGAAAATGTTTATATGTATAAAAATCAATTTAGAGGTACCAATGAACCTAAACATACACATCAGCTTCTTCAACTTGAAAAGATAAGTTTCCCACAAACAGCGTCTTTGATTCTGTAGCTTGAGTAGCGGGAGTTTGGGGCTGCAGAAAAGCTTTGATCAGAACCAACCAACTTGACAAAATGATCAAAATAACAAGATTGAGGCGACTTCCGAAGGAAACTCAAAGTGAAATGTACTTACAGCATTCTTCGTAGACTTCAAATCCTGCTTGGCAGGTGTTGAAGCATCAACCATTTCCACATCTGTATCCTGATTTTGACATAGAAGTAAACTACATTATACAATCATCACATCAAGCTTCCAAAAGCATGTACAGAAAATCAGTTCCTAAGATGCTGTACATTCTTCTTTGGAGCCTTTTGTTCATCACTTTCCTCATCATCAGATGATGACTCCTCAGATTCTTCTTCACTCCTGCTTTCTTTTTTGACAACTTTGGCCTTTGAAGCAACCTTAGGCTGGCAAATTGATGGGAGAAAAAACAAAAGAAACACCTTGATAAAAAAAAATACAAAAAGTAGAAGTACGACAACTAGACTGAAATTGCTATTTTATTGAATTCAAAAGTTAAAGCACACCTGTTCATCCTCGGACTCACTATCATCAGATTCATCACTACTGGATTTCTCAACCTTCTTGGCAGAAGGAGCAGCCACTTTCTTCACGGTAGTTGTTTTCTTATCATCCTAGGGATGATCAACAGAATCAATAACAAATATGAACAGGATAAAAATGGAGTGAGAAATTTATGAATAAGACATCACACCTCATCAGAATCCTCATCTGAATCCTCCTCAGAGCTGCTATCACTTAATGCAGTTTTAGTCTTTGCAGCAGGTGTGGGCAAAGCAGCCTTTGGAGCAGGTTTCTGTATATGTATACATACAGTTAGCAAAATTATAAACACTAATATTAATTCAATACCAATAGAAAATACTGGACTAATAAGGACCCAAAGTATTATTAAGAAACCAAATCTTATCATGTATGTTCGTAAGGTTCAAAGAAATCATTTATTTGAGCAATGCTGACATCCCGACACTCACATCATCTTCATCCGAAGAGCTATCACTTTCCGAACTATCACTGGATTCCTTTTTAGTAACAACAGTAGGTGCTTTCTTAGCAGCAGGCTTTGGTTTTTCCTGCATATGCAAAATAGTATATTTGTAACTTACGATCACAAAAGCTCCAAATCAAATCGAAAAGGGACAGCATTCAACAATCTAGCACTTACTTCATCTTCATCCGAGCTGCTATCTTCATTTTCATCTGAACTACTGGAGGCCTTATCATTTTTAACAGGTGCAGCACCATTTTTTGCAGCTGCGGATACATTTGTTTTTGCAGCAGGCTCCTAAATCAAATTTTAACAATAATAAAGTCAAGAGTTTTTCTAGTAATTCTAGTGTTACATCTGTATTTGCCTCAATACTCACATCATCCTCATCATCAGAACTACTATCAGCTTTCACCGTCTTAGCAGCAGGAGAAGAGGATTTTGCAGCAACAGCAGGTTTTTTACTCTGAGCGGGAGCTTCCTGGAAAAGCAACACAATGAACATGAAGAATCATATATTATATATGCAACAACACAAAAGTTACAAACATGAGAATAATACACACTTTATCAGATGAATCTTCCTCGCTACTAGAGTCTGAAGAATCTGAACTGCTAGCTTGTTTTGCTTTCGTAGCAGGTACAGAGCCATTCTTGGCAATAACCGGTTGTTTCTTTGTAGGAGCAGGTTCCTAAAGAAAAATAAACAACAAAAATTAGGCAAAACAAAGGATGATTTATTTTACAGTTCACTATCAAGAAATGTTCAAAACACGACGAGAAACCGACAGAAAATCGAGCATGAAATGAAAAGAGAACTTTCAGCATATATCGAAACAAAAAAACAATAAATGCAGAATCACAAGTACAGAAGTAGTGGGTTTTAGCATACATCTTCAGATTCAGAAGAGTCATCGGAAGAACTACTGGTTTCTTCTTTCTTCTTCTTCTGAGTCTTTGCTTCAACCTTGGCCTTTACAACAGCTTGTGCTACCCCACCGTTTTTCTTCTGCTTTTTTGCAGCCACTAGTTTCTCAGGAGTCTCTTCAGCTTCTCTCTTACCTATATATAACCACAAAAGGATGAAAAAAGCAGCACTCACACAATGCATATTAATCTAAAAAATCCTCAAACTTTATAATACATGATAGATTGTATAGCATAAAAAGATTGAAAATTTAAAACCAAAATAAAAATACAAAAAAATCTACCTTTCTTTCCAGACTGAGGAACTGCAGCAGGAGCAGCTTCAACCTGTAAAAGAAAAAGAAAAAAGAAACACAAAATTAAACCAAAATAAAGAGCTTAAAGGGAAAAATAATCCATAAAAACCAAAACTATATATTTTTTTTAAAATGGTTATAGAAAAAGTGTACTTTGGGTGTTGATTTCTTGCTTGATTTCCCCATAGGATAAGAGTAGAGAGATTTGAGAGGTGAGTTAAGATCTTTTATGGGGTTTGAGAGAGAACAAAGAGACGGCTGCTTGGAAACCCTACTCTTGAGATATTTTTGGAGTTTGGGTTTAGGGTTTTGAGTGGGAGGAGGCGGTCGAGATAATGAGGCTTATATATAGCGTTTTGGTTTTTATTGGTACGCTGAACGCTTTCAGCAATTTGCGAAAGAACGCGCGCTAGGGTTTTTGCATGTTCGCAAACTGTAGCGGGTGAATTTGCACGTGTGATATCCTCAACCGTCGATTCCATCCTCAACAGAACCTGATGGTGGACCGTCCAAAAAAACCTACAGTTTTTAGTCCAAAAAATCCTGTTTTGGTAAGGATTATTTATGATGATTGTTGTGTATTCTTACTAGATCAGTCCTCAAGCGATATACAGAGATCCGTTTCGAAGAGGAAAGAGCATCTTGGTAATCAAATTCACACACATTTTAGTTATTTATTTAGAAAGGAGAATTTAGGATTTTGCAAAGAAGTTATGTACATATACATACAAAATTGCTTAAGCAGGTGATGTGCGACGCATATACACCGACGGCGACCCAATTCCGACCAACAAAAGATTCAACGCTGCCAAGATCTTTAGCCAACCTGAGGTTGTTGCGGAGGAGCCATGGTAATATTATATTTTGTTTTGCCATGTCATCAACAGTGTTCATAGGTCGAACATGATTGCAATTTTTTTCCTTTCTAATTTCTGTCTAATTAGGTGATATTCATACAAGTTTTAAGTGAAATATTGCAGCAGAAACTTTATTTAAAAAATTCACAATTAAATAATTGTAAATTTTAAAGATTTATTTAATGACGGATTTTTTAATCTCACTTCTTATCCTATTATTTCAATCGATTGTCATATGGTTTTTAAAATATATCATAAAAGGTAGTGTTACTCTATGAAATTAGGTTTGGCATTGAGCAAGAGTACACTCTTTTACAGAAGGATGTTAAATGGCCTCTCGGATGGCCAGTCGGAGGGTATCCCGGACCACAGGTATTTATCACATCCTAAAACTAAATTCTATTCAAAACCAAATTAAATATATAATTGTTTGAATTGATTTGAATTCTATGATTACTCATGTAATGAAAACGATTGGAACTATAAAAATAGAATTTAATTACTTAAGTAAGGTCAATGATGCAGTCGTTCTCATAATGTACTTTTACAAAACTTGATTTGAATTAATCGATCAATAGATCAAATATCAATAGTTAAACAAAAAAAATTATACTATATATTGATCTACAATTTTATCGAACAGTTTTCAATCTCAATAAGTTTTGTTATCAATGTAGGGACCGTATTACTGCGGGGTCGGTGCGGACAAAGCATTTGGCCGAGACATTGTGGACGCACATTACAAAGCTTGCCTTTATGCTGGCATTGACATCAGTGGCATCAATGCTGAAGTCATGCCTGGTCAGGTATGTTTTCTTATAAGGCTACTTTTATTAGGTCCATAATGTTATTCGATTTTTTTTAAATATTTGTGTTTGATATATATTCGGACATAACTATAGAGATAGAATCAAACATTATTCTTAATGTTATCCGTGAAATATTTAAGAGTATATCATCATCTTGCTGTGTTGAACAGTGGGAATTCCAAATTGGTCCAATCTGTGGGATTTCTACAGGGGATCAAGTATGGATGGCTCGATACATACTCGAGGTACTATCTGTAAAATTTAATGTTTTAATTTATTAAAATTCATTGATGTTTGGCGGATTAAGTAACAAAAAGCTTGTTTTTAAATGTCTTAAATTCAAGTTTTATAGATAGAAAAAAAATTCGACATGATTCAACTTCAAATTTAGTTAGGACTCTTATTAAACACCCATGTTTTTAACAGATTTTGTCTTTTTTAAACATCTTTAACATTATTTTTTTAACAGCGAATCACTGAAATCGGAGGAGCTGTTCTTTCTTTCGATCCCAAACCAGTTTCGGTTTGTATCACTGCTACAATCTTAATTCATCTCTCCTTCCTTTCTTTTAGTTTTTATAAATAACTTTGCTTTTTTGTTTCCCTCAATCCAGGGTGATTGGAATAGTGCTGGTGCTCATACTAATTACAGGTAAGATGCCAAATAAATTTGTTCTACTTGATTTGACATCGAGTTTTCGATTCCGGCTTATGGTAAGAGCTATAGGCCGATAATTCGACCCGAAGAGTAAATTTGTTCTTTTTTTCTCTTTTTGTCTCAGCACAAAGTCGATGAGAAATGATGATGGAATCCAAGTGATAAAGAAGGCGATCGAGAAGTTGAGTAAACGTCACAAGGAGCACATTGCAGCTTATGGTAAGGGCAACGAGAGACGTTTGACGGGTCTTCACGAGACTGCTGATATCAACACTTTCTCTTGGGTAAGTTTAACATCGTATTACCATATTAAGCACCACGGCTAAACTTGGCCGAACTATAGTATTCGATTTGATTTCGGTTCGAGTTTTATTGAATCGGTTCAGCTGATTTGATCATTATTTAGTACAAATTTGAGTATCAAGCTTGACGAGCATACTGATTATCCTAATAGTTTCCTGTACGCAACATGATATTATGATCGTTATATAATGATTATGATTATTTTATTATTGATATTCATCGCAAACAATTATAGTATAACTCGTATTTGGCTTGTGATGTCGGAATAGGGTATTGCAAACAGGGGAGCCTCCGTCCGTGTCGGTCGAGACACTGAAAAAGCCGGAAAAGGTACTGTTATTCCGTTTCTTTTAGTTAAAGAAAGATATATTGCCTTGAATTCTCGCAGCCGTCAGGCTATTTCGAAGATCGGAGGCCATCATCAAATATGGATCCGTACATTGTGACGTCGATGATAGCCGAAACCACCATTCTTTGGGAGCCTTAAAGAGCTAGAGAATGGAGGCATGGGATGATGACAATGAGAATCACACATCGGTTTAAAACTATGTAGAAATTTGTTTTTTTCTTTCTTAATTTGTATTTCTTATGGCGTTAAATTACTGTGGTGCGTTTGAGTCTATCAAATAAACAAGAGCAGTTTGATAGACTCAAATGGTGGGCAGTCTACTATCCTACCTCCCCTCACCCCATTACATATGGGAATAGATCAGTTAATTTTTTTAGTTTGATTTTAACCATGCGATACCGAAGCTGTTGGTTGGTATCTATTGGAATTAGAGTGTACAGTGTTAATCGAATTTCAAATTTAATATATTTGGTTTAACCTCGAATTAATTTATTAAAATGCACAACAAATTCTTTTTTTAAGTATATTTCAATTTTGAAACTTATTCGGTTAATTTTCCACCTAACCTCGTGGTAATATAATATTGTTCAAATGATTTAATAATTTAACATTTATTTGTTTAAATATGTAAATAGTTTAGGATAATTATAAAATAATATATTTTTAAAGATTTTATAAACACATCTAAGTTATCTAGAGAAAATAATTGAAAATGAAATCGCTTAATAAGTTTAATTATTTAATATATTTGACTAATAAATCACTAATAAAATAACATAAAGTAAAATATTAGCACTATAATTAATTATATTCGGTTACTATCAAAATTGATCACATTCAATACCTTTTTTCTAGAATGATCAACTTATTCAATATATGTACTTGATAGGGCAATGGAATGTTATCCTACAATAAACAATGGCGGCAGTTATGTTACTTGATAGGGCGAGTCTCAATGGACGGTCACCAGGGTTTCGATCGTAACGTGTCAGCTAGCACGTTAGTGCATATGGTGCACGACACCGTCGGATGATGACCGAGATCGAAGATGGGCTCTCAAACGATTTTTTCATATTTTATGAACAACAGATGTGAGTTTAGGTGGCTGGTTGACGTGGTTGGTGTCGCGAGACGGTGGTGGTTCTGATAGTGGCGAAATTGTATGCCACCTCTAGTCGGAGGGTGGCGGTCGACACTCGTCGGTAAATGACGGGTATAACTGGCTATTTTGTGGACATTTGAAGTTATTGGGTGTTTAATATCTAACAAAAGTCGGAAAAATAAAATAAATATTAATTTTTTATTAGCAATAGTAACCTAGTCTAATGGTAGGTGGTGGACTCCCATGCCTTAGACTTTTGCATTTTCCTCTATTATTTTTTTCTTGGATGAATGGATATGGGAAAATGCAAGATCAAATCCTTGAACTTTTAGGATTTCAAAAATTATCCTTATAATTGTAAATCCTCACAAAACAGTCCCCGAAATTTAGGTAATTGAATTTAAATTTAAAACAACTGAAAATTGGGGTGTTATAACTCTCTCATCCTTAAAAGAAATTTCGTCCTCAAAATTTATCCAAGTCAAAGAAATATGGAACTGAACTTTCATCATTTCTTCAATATCTTCATGTAGCTTTTACAAGATTATGATTCATCCACTAAACTTTAACCAGCTGAATATGCATTCCTTCATAACTCTCCCTTATCATAACTCAACAATCTGAACAGAATTACCCTTGTAGAAACAATCAGACCTTAGTTATAATATTTGGTTCATAGAGCAAGTAACATATTCCAACTTCATATCCACAGTCGAGTTAGAATTTCTCGGATAAATAACTCTCACGTTACTCGCGAGACGCTTTACAAAATTTGGGCGAACATTGCTGGTGTTCCTTTTATGCATAGATCAAGCCTTAACGAACAAAAACTTAGTTTACTTATCACAGAAGGGACTCGACCTTGGCGTTTCGGATTAGAGAAGTACAATTATAATCTAAGGGAATGTATTGACCAGACACCTATGACAGTCGTCCGGTCGGTCAACCCGAAAGGACTCGACTCAACCCAAGCTCTGATACCACTAAATGTATCACCCCAAACCAATGCAGGTACATCAATATGATCCGAGGTGTCTTAAGAGTATTTTCGTCATTTTATCAAAATCAATATGGGTTCAGAATAATTTATATTTTTTCCCAACTCAATCATATTTATCTATGCATCAACATTTACCTAACTTGTATCATATAACATGCAATGGGTAGTAAAGTATTACTTCGACTTTTGAGCCACATCAATTGACCATTTTAACTCCATTTGATCACTCTCGTACTTTAATTTCACGTCTCATAATGTTCAGATATATGGCAAAATCAGAAACGAAACTTAAATGTGAAAATTCATATCGAATCGGGAGATAAAACATCAAAAAATAGCTTACCGGGTTTGAATTTGGGGAAATGAATTTCGATTCAGAAATACGTCAAAAACATAAAATATGACTTTTAAAAAAGTTGACTTTTGGTCAAAGTCAACAATCAACCCTGGTAAAGTTAAAGTTAACAGTCTGGGTCAAAGTCAATAGGTCAGATTGGTTCGAGTTGACTCAGGCCGATTCAAGTTAACTCAGTTCGGTCCGAGTTAACTCAGTCCAATCCAAGTCTAGAACAATTTGACTAAAGGAGCTGCCTCACGTGTAGGAGGTGCGTGGCGGCACGTGCGGCGACGATGAGGTCCGATTCAGGCAGCCGATTACTCCACAACTTCTCATTTGATAATTTTAACTCAAATCAGATCAAAAATCAACCAATAGAATAAGAAATAATGGAGATAAACGAATGAAGGCTCACCCTTAACAACGATTGATGGAGGATCGACGATGGGGCGACAAAGCCGATTGGGTTTTGATTGAGAAGACTCAAGGAACTTAATGTGAGGGGCAGTGTGGCCAACAGACGCTTATTTCGGCTTGAAATCGATGAAACCCAAGAGAGAGCATGGGTTTTCTGACAAACCTTCAACATAATCTCCATGGCATACGACGACGAGTCTCAACGGATGATCACCAGGGTTTCGATCGCTACGTGCTAACAAGTACGCTAGTGTAGACTGTGCACGACAATGTCGGACGATGACCGAGATCGAAGACGGGCTCTCGAACAAGCTTTTCATAATTTATGAACAACGACTGTGAGTTTGGGTGGCTGGTTGACGGGGTTGGTGTCACGGCATGGTGGCAGAGGTGTACGCCACCACTGGTCAGAGGGTGGCGGTCGACACTCGTCGATGAAGGATGGGTATAGTTGGGCTATTTTGTGAGCATTTGAAGTTATTGGGTGTTTAATATCTAACAAATGTCGATGAAATAAAATAAATATTAATTTCTTACGAGTAATAATAACCTAGATTAGTGGTAGGGGAATGGGCTCTCAGGCCTTTGGTTACGTATTCAATCCCTAATGACCTCAACTTCTTCATTTTCCTCTTATTTTTTTCTTGGCTGAAAGGATATGGGAAAATGTAAGCTCAAGTCCTTGAACTTTCAGGATTTCAAAAATTATCCTTAAAATTGCAAATCCTCACAAAATAGTCCCCGAAATTTAGGTAATTGAATTTAAATTAAAAACAACTGCAAATTGGGGTGTTAAAGGTTCTTAGGCTGATACCAACTTGCTTATTGGCTTCGTAAGGACCAACTGACAATGTTACTATTTATTGCAATTGTAGGTTATATGCTCAGTGCTTCAACTTATTAATCAGATTGTGTGAGAAAATACTGATTTCCAGAAGAATGCTTGTCTTGTTGGCTTTGTAAGTTCTACGATCATTTAGCTTTATTTATTCACATATATAAGAGTGGGCAAGGTGTGCAGTTGCTACATATTCCCTCATTAGGTCGGGACCTGAAAAAAGAGTTCCATTTTATTTTCCTTTCCCCCCTTTTGGATAACAGTATCATGGCACTTTCAGGACATGTGCAGTCTTCTTGTTACACACTAATGCCTATTACCATTAGAACTTCTAAGGAGTTGGTGGAGAGAGTCAACTGTTAATGAGGTATCTCCATAGTTTTTAGAATCCTTTGGTTGTTGCAATTCATGTGCATAAATGTTGTTGTATATATGTTTCGGTTATGTTTCTATCACCTTTTGGATTCATCTTGAACTGAAATGAGATAGGGGAGGGGGAGAGTGATTATTGTAGTATTTATAGTTTATTCACTTTCAAGTTACCTTATAGATCCCTTTGGTTATGAGTTTTGCGGGGCCGGATCGTCCTCAGGAAATTAGGATGGAGGCAGCTTATTTCATGCAGCAGCTTTGCCAATCGAGGTGTTGAGTCATCTCTTTTATTTATTTCTGTGCTTGATATCATTTAACTGACAGAAAGGAATTATACTGACAATTGGTTCCTTCTCCATAGCTCATTGACTTTGCAGATGTTCATAGCTTGCCTTGGAATCCGGTTTTGGTTGGCTTTCTAGAGGTTGATTACGCAAAGAACGGGTTTGTGTGTTGTATATAGTTTCGGTTATGTGTTTCTATCACCTTTTGGATTCATCTTTTGAACTGAAATGAGATAGGGGAGGGGGAGAGTGATTCTATTGTAGTATTTATAGTTTATTCACTTTCAAGTTACCTTATAGATCCCTTTGGTTATGAGTTTTGCGGGGCCGGATCGTCCTCAGGAAATTAGGATGGAGGCAGCTTATTTCATGCAGCAGCTTTGCCAATCGAGGTGTTGAGTCATCTCTTTTATTTATTTCTGTTGCTTGATATCATTCTTAACTGACAGAAAGGAATTATACTGACCAAATTGGTTCCTTCTCCATAGCTCATTGACTTTGCAGATGTTCATAGCTTGCCTTGGAATCCCGGTTTTGGTTGGCTTTCTAGAGGTTGATTACGCAAAGAACGGGTTTGTGTGGAACTCTAAAACAAATTGCTGAAAATTCTTATTCTCAACTTTATGATGCACTCTACCCGTTTTTTTTTATTCTTCTACGCTTCTCCTTTTTGCATATTTATATTTTTAAATGCTCCAGTGTGTTTGCTTTCTATACTTGAAAAATTTGCTCATTCCCCGCTCCTTACACAGGGAAATGGTTCACCTAGCAATCGATGGCATGTGGCAGGTCTTCAAGCTTCAGCTATCAACCCCAAGGAATGATTTCTGTCGGATAGCTGCTAAGAGTGGGATATTACTGAGGCTTATTAATACTCTGTACAGTTTAAATGAGGCAACTCGACTTATAAATTTGGGAGCATTTAGTTTCACTTTGATAAACGTGTTTCCAGGACCTGAATTTGTGAAAATCAGCAATGTTTAAATTCTGTAATCTGTCGTTGTTATTTGATTAATTCCCTCATTGGTTATTTAATTCCATCAATCAAAATAATATTTACAACCTCAAATTGGAATTTCATTTTTTTGGGGGAAAATGAAATGCATGCGTGCATCTATTTACCATTGAAAAAGGTTAGATGTAGGGTAAATTAAAGGGATAAGGAACTTGGAATCTTTGAATTTGATACTCTTCTCGATTTAGTCCATTGGTCCTCTAACACTAAAATTTTGGTTCAACCATTCAAGGTTAAAACATTCACATCCTTGATATTCATTATGTTCGAACCTTAATCTTAAAGAATAACAACAATTCATTTACTATCGAGGTCGCTTGTTTACATATTCATTCCAAAACTATTGGTATATTATGGTAGGAAAAACATTCCAAAACACATGAAATTGCAATTTCATGTTGAGACAATGTATAAACCATTGTTACAGATTCATTCGACCAGTTCAAATTTATATATTTTATTGTATTTTACATTTTTAGTAGCGGAAACCCGTCAAAAGTTTATGGTTCGAGGACAGAATGCCCAGCTACTCAACAATCTCACTCTCACACACAACAATAAGTGAAAAAGCAATCGTAAAGATACCAGTAATAAGAACCAAGAACCAAACCACTAACATCCTTCGACTCATGCAACCGGAGGGCGAAGAACGTGATCCTGTGATGTGTCTACTGCAGCAGGCGGCATGAATTGCCACATTGCGACACTAGGAAATCCGATGACAGGCATCAACTTGTTTCCAGCAGCTTGCCCTTGAGCAGATACTGCAGGTAGCAAGCCTGGCCCTGCACTCATGGCTTTGAGTTGCTGTTCTAACTTCTCCTTGTCTGCTTTCAGCCTCTGCTTCTCGTCATGAAGCTCGTTCTTCTCTGCCTGTACAGATTAACAATCCACCAAGCATGCACATAAGCCATAACCAGAATCCCACACAACCATGTTCATGTTCATGGCGTATCATAAGAACAATCCACCAAGCATGCATATAAGCTATAACCCGAATCCCACACAACCATGTTCATGTTCATGATATATGCATAAGAAGAAGCATTTGATGAATTAAAAGTCTTATCTTCCATTCGATCTGGTTTTCGTTTCGATTTTCGAGAAATAAACTTTACCTTCAATTCTTTGATTTTCGCTTGCAACTCCTCATTAGATTCATTCAACCTCTGAGCTTCACTACGTAGTTGATGCACCATTCTTACAACATCACTCAAAATAGCAACCTTATCTGCTTTGAGTGGCCTTCCCGGCTCCAAAATGGAGCCCAATTCCAAGAACCTTGACAATTTTAACCAACTTTGAAGTGAGAAACAACAAGGAACAGGCCAAGAACATTGAAGAACATAACAGAAACAAATGATTGAAGAAAAGAATGGTCAAACCATACTTATCGTTCAGCCTATCCCTCCGCAATTTCTCCCGGCATGCTTTCGATCCAGATCTACCGCATGATTCAGATTTCAACCTGTGAAGAACAATAACTAGCAAAAATTAGTCAACAATCATCATCATAGAGTTTCAAAATCTCCAGGGAAACTGGAATTATCAACCTTTTCCTAGACGCAGCTTCCCTCAAGCTATCTGAATCAGCAAATGAGCAATCAACCGCAGCTCTGGGCAAATCAAAATAAATAGCAGTGGCGTATCAAGAGATATTTCATCATAAAAGAAAAAAAAACTTTATTACTAGCAATTCTCAGTGGAAAATATCTACTTTCAAATTGGAACTAACTAAGTCAAAATCTAAAGAGAGCGAAATCTATCGATCTTGAACGAATGAACAATTTACGCCGAAACTCATTCTCAAGAAAAACTAAAATAAAATTGCCGCCAAGACTAATTCCCTTCTCGGGAACCAAACAGAAAAGTTCGTACCGGACATTAGAGGGAGTATTGAGAGTAGATTGAGAGGACCAAGTGAAGGCGGCAGCTGGAGGCGGGAAATCAGGTATCCCATAATCCAGGAGCCAATTGGGGTTATCAGAGGAGTCCAATTCCATGGAATTTTCTTTCACTGCCAAAAAGAAAACTGAATTTGAATAAGGAGATTATATATAAAAAGCAAAATTCTAAAAAAATCACTGTTTTCTTCGGTGATTTTTCCGAAAAATCACTGTTTTTTATTATTTACATGTCAAATATCGTTAAATAAAATATTACGAATTTATCATCTTTAACAGAATGTGACGTCATGTATGAAAGTCGCGACCTATAAATCTCGTCTTATGTCAGCTGGATGTTAAATCTAAAAAAAAATTAAAATAATATCTAATAGATAATTAATTTCTGTTCGGATAATATTTTTGTAAAAACGTCAATTTTCTTTTATATATTTTTTTGTGTAAAAAACAACTTTATACATTAAAATCTTTAAATATGCTTTTGTAAATTATTTTATAACTCTACAAATTTTAGTTTTTACATGAAATTACACAATAGAATTATGTCTATCAATTACCACTTGGCATTTTCTAATATTTTTTTGACCCTTTCAAAATCTTATATGTATAGTCTAGTCTAGGAACATTTTTAGAGTAAGTAATTTAAAATATGAATAATTTTATAAAAGTTTTATAACTTGTATTTATTTTTCAAAATAATGATGATGATAATAAGAAATATTTTATAATTTAAAAAATTATAAATTTTATAAATTTTTGAAAAAAAATTTAACTTTTAAAATTAATTTTTTAAAAATATAAAAAATATTAAAATAAAATTTTAATTACATTTGAGGGATCAAATGAATTATTATTCATTTTTAAAATTAAATATTATGACCATAAATTATCAAAATTATTAATTGTTGTTAAAAAATAATAATTAATGAATAATAATTTATTTTATCCCTCAATTATAATTAAATATATAATTTTTTTTAAATTATAAAATATTTCTTATTATTATTATCATCATCATTTTGAAAAAGAAATTCTTAGTTATAAAACTTTTATAAAATTATTCATATTTTAAATTACTTACCCTAAAAGTGTTCCTAGACTAGACTATATGTATAAGATTTTGAAATGGTCAAAAAAACATTAGAAAGTGTCAAGTGATAATTGGTAAACATAATAATATTGTGTAATTTTATGTAAAAACTAAAATTTGTCGAGTTATAAAATAATTTGTAAAATCATATTTAAATATTATAATAGAGAAAGTTTTTGTAAAAAATAAATAAAAGAAAGTTGATATTTTTACATAAATGTCACTCTTACAAAAATTTATTACTTTTTGGGCACCATTTTAAAAAAATGTACGAATTTAGCACTCAGCTGACATAAGGCTCATTTATATTTTGTACATTTATGCAAATAGTGTTAAATTCGTAATATTTTTTTTAATAGTATCTAATACATAATTAATAAAAAAATCAGTGATTTTTGGAAAAAAATCTCCTTTTTCTTCTCGCAATAGAATAAAGATAAAAATAATAATTAAATGAAAAAGGAATGCGTTGAGTTGTGTATGACTGTGTGGCTCGTCAGGTTAAGATATTACTAAATAAGTTTGGAACTTTCAAATAAAAAGGCAGACTGATCTATTTAGTCCCTAACTTTTCCAATTTAATCATTTTATCCCTTCAATATTTATTGCATTCTTCTTCACCCTTGAACTTTTTTTTATCAAATTTACCCAAGTATAAATGTATCATCTTCAAACGTGAGAACAGCAATTTTAGGATTAGGAGGGAGACTATGCTGTATGTTTCACTTACACAACAACGTAGGCAAAAATACTTATAGATACTTCTATTATAGTGATTGTATCAATTTAGTATCTCTACTATTTAATGAATCAATTCAATACTTTTAATTAGTTCTTCTAGTATTGTATTGAGCAATTCAGTCCATATGCAACTAACAACAATCAAATAAGGTCAAATATTTCATTTGAAGAACCATGATAGTTATTTCAACTCTGTTAAAGAATAACCGATATTTTCTCAACAATAAATATTAATTTGAAATAAATTAGCTTTAATTAAATTTTTAATATTGTAAGAGGCTAAATTGATCAGTCTGATAGTAGAATGATTAATTTGAACTATTTTCTAAAATAAAGAACTAATTTAAACTCGTCCTTTTAACAAAATGACTAGATTGATTTTTTTTATGTTAGGGAGAGTAGATTGATATGCTCCCTATAATAGAGGGACTTGATAGATACTTCCTCAAACAAAATTAAAATAAGAAATGCTAAGCGGTATGTTTCATGCCCAAATTGGAATTCTTCCAATGACGAGCCTTCAATCGCACTGTTTATGTCAAAAATGACGCCATGAAAATTAATAGGAGTATTAATAAGTTTATTATTGAATGATCATCGTGATGATGACGTGCCCAAAGATTCCATTCTAGCTTAATGTTCCAGCGCAATTACGCAAGCCATTATTTTTTTAAGGCCTAATACCCTATCATCTTCCCGGTTATATGTCGTCGTAATTGTCATCGATTGGTCGTTAGAATTGTTTAGGATTTCGATTTTTATCCTAGGTTTCGCATGGTATAAAACTTCAATTCGTCATCGATCGATCACGATTTATATGGATTTTGGTCACCGGGGGAGGTGAGGTCGGGTGGGACTTCATTGACGGCAAAGGACGACATCCGGCATGGGTCTAGGGGTTGAAATGAAGGTTTTCAAAGTTTTGGGTTATTTCAAAATGTTTATGTTTTTTAAAATTTATATAATTTTAATTTTTTAATTTTAAATAAAATTATCAAATTATGATACATATCACTTAACTATGAAAATTAACACCGTTGATGGCCCATACACCTAAAGTTGTAATGTTTGTAATGTTAGGTACCGAGATGAGTAAAAAAATAGTTTAGGAACCTATTCATAAAAAGGATATAGTTTGAGCACTTATTTTGACATTTAGCCATTTTATAATAATTCTTTGGTTAAACAGTACTCGTGGTCCCTTATTTTTTTGGCCTATTATTTTGGTCACTGTTTTTAAAAGTTTGATTTTAGTTAATTTTGTTTTTAGATTAATGAAGTGATAGATAATGATAAGACAAGATTATAGGCAAATACAAAAGATGTTGAAAAATAATAGTTTTGAGCACAAAAAATAAATATAAAATATTTAATTTAGATAAATAATATGATAATTTCAGAATATCAAAGTGACATTTTTAAAAGTATGTTGATGATGATATAAAATGTTTAAATAGATTATGTTTAAATAGAATTAATATTATCAAATGTTTAAAAGTATTTTCACAACATATGTGTATTTATTAATTTAGGGTGAATACAATACAATATATGTTTTAAAAAATTAATTATTTAATAATAAACGTTCATGAACAAGAACGCTATACCTTTTTATGTCTCACCCTTTAATTTAGATATAATGTCGCGTGTATTAGTAAGTTTTATTCAAACTAATTAACAACAATTTACCGTCAGTTTTCTGTACTCTACCTTTTACTTAATCTTTTTTCCTGCTGATTAGTCATCTTTTTCACCCTTCTCTTGTTAATAATCTCCATTGATGAGTTAATGTTTGATGCCTATATTGATTGCATATCTTCACAACTTGAAAACTTCCAACTTCGTATTCATGTAGGAAATTGAAAAGATAAGATTGTGGAATGAAGGTGCCAAAGCTACAACCCAGACTATATATGCTTCGAGAACCGGAGCATCTGCAGCGAATACAATGCATAAAGCAATATGTAATCAATATTAAGTTGGACAATTGTGATAAATTGAAAACTTTGAGGCATATTTTCTAAGGGTAAAGATGAAGATTCAAATAATAAATTTACTGATTCATATTCTACTCTATATCTTTACAACTGTATCTCATATGTTAAAACGGTTAAATGATGAATGAGAAATTGAGGCTCAAAGCAGGGTACATACGAATTGTGTTGTGTAAGCAAACCGTGCAGCTACATGCCTCAATAAGTTTCTAGATCATTATTCTATCGACATTTGGGTTTTTATATTCGATTTTTCTTTTCGTTTTCGTCTCGGATTATTATACTTTCAACATATTATTTCCTTGTTACCTGAAAATTTGCTTTTGAGTTATTTTTTTCATTGATTTTATGCCTTGTACTGTCACTGCAATATTGCTGAAGTGCGTTCACTTGCTATTCTCCCCCTTTATCGAAAATGGCTTTCTTTACAGGAATCGAGATGATATTGACAAAACAATAGATGAGATCCAACTAACAAACTAATAACATAAAGCTTATTCATTAAGCATTTTCAGCTCCTATTGGAGTTGCTGCTAGTTTCGACGAGGTTAATATTTTTTGAGTAATGTTTTTTTTCTTACTTCATTGCCTGCTGTAATATATGTTTACACCTATCAATCATCATGACTAACAGATATATGAATCTAAACAGGACTTGAAAACTTTTGACACTACAGGATGAATTGGAACCAAATTTGAAAACTTGGAGTAGCGGATTCTCTAGTCTACAACCGTACGTCTGGCCGGATATGAGTTTGCCGGTTGACGACGCCGTAGGATTAGAAAATGAGCCATAACCTTAACGAATCAAAAGCTTGACGTACAGTTGGGGAAGATAACATTTAAGAAAAAGGGTAAATTAGAACTTTCTCCTTAAATTACTTTGAATTTATAAAATGGTCCCTAATCAGTATTTTATATAAAATTCAGGGGTTAAAGTGAAAATTAAACCCTTTCACAAAGGTACCACATCATCAAACAAACTAACGGAAGCAAACGTTTCAGTGGCCACATCTTTATTAACACAAAACGAAAGTGATCGCGAATTAAATTTTTTTGAATCGAGTGACCATATGCTTAAAAAAATAAAACAAAAGTGAACAATATGTAGTTTACCCATATTTATGTTATTAACATTATGGAAGCCGTGACTTTTACCCTGCTTAGAAGAACGGCAATATTCCAGTCATTGTCTTCTATATAATTAAAAGGTACGATGTTGAACTAGGGTTATATTATTTGTCAGGGTTAATCATACACCATTCAATTGCTTTACTTAAAATCTAATGCTCCTGAGTTTTTTTGTATTAGTTTTTAGGGTCATATAATTTTAGGGTTAATTACACTATACATTTTTAAATTAATCTCAAATTTTAAAATATTTTATTATAATTTTAAAATACTACCTATTATATTAATAAAATATTTCCATCAATTAAATCATTAAATGGTAATTCAGATTTAATATTAGATATATTTAAAAAAAAATGATTAAGAATTTAAATTTAACATACCAAAACAATAAACTTTATAGATAATGCTTAATTGTGTGGTCTAACATCATCATAAACTTAAACCCTAAATCCTACAACGATAAATATTTTATATGCAAATAAACAACTTCGAGTATTAAATTGATGTGAAAATATGATAGAGATGAAGATAATAAATTAGTTCTACTGCAGGAGTAAAAATAACCTTCAAACCAAAATGTTAATTTCATTTAAATTTTGTTTAAATAGATACAATCATAGTAATTAACTCACAAGCAACGAATATAAAAAATATAAGATTTGGATAACTTCAAAGTTAGTTTGGTACCACTAGCAGGGTTTTGTTTTATATGTTATGTTTTCACTAGTGGCAATAAAATAAAGTGAAATGAAATAGCTATAAATAGCGAGGTTGTGGTAAGCAAAGCACGGCAGCAAGAGAGCAAATCACTTGGCAGAGATCATCATCCATTCAAAAAACAAAGCCTAGCGAAATGGCATCTGTCGTGCCGAGGTTTATAGTCATCGAATCTTATCAGGATGTGGGTTACCTAAGTTATATTCATGAAGGCGGAGATGCTGATGGGTTTATGAGATTCATGAAACTTGAGGTTACGAGCCCTTATGCAAAGTTCGAAGTGGAGAGTTCGAACACAGAGGGCTTGGTGCATATAAGAAGTTGTCAAAGCAACAAGTATTGGCAACGAACCTCTCTTCCCTCCTTCCCTGCGGGAGCCTGGACCGCGACAACGTCAAAGGAGAAGGAGGAAGATGAATCAAAGGAGTCATGCACATTGCTCAAGTTTATCTCCGTAGACCCTGCTGCAAACAAGTTCAGAATCATGCATGTGCAATCGGGATGCTATGTATGCAAATGGGGATCGGAGGATCAAAAGTTTGATCAGGGCATGTTAATTAGCTACAAGGAGACCGATTGGCAAGGCGCTGATGTCTTCACAATTATTGATTGGACTTCGTTAGTGATTCTACCCAGGCATGTTGCCTTCAAGGGATGCAATGACAAGTATCTGTGCCTTTACAAAGTCACATCTCCGTATTTCGGAAGTGATGACATCGGCGAATCGACCGTCGCATGCGAGATTATCCCTGTCAAGGACGGAAATATTCGCATCAAGTCCTCAAGTACCGGGCAATTCTTTAGGTGTGACGCCAAGTGGATCTGGGCAGATACCTACGACACCGCCACCGACCATGTCGACAGCTTGTTTCGCCCCGTCAAAATCGACAATGACAAGATAGCCCTAATCAGCTTGTGCACCAATAAATTCTGCAGGATGCTATCAGAAGATGGATTCGGTGATGCTCTTGCTGCGGTTGAGCCCTCCGTTATCAAAGAAGCCCAAATCACGGTGGACGAGCCTGTCATGACGAGGAAAATTTATGATGTCAAATATGATCTCGATAATTCCAGGATTTACGACAATGCAGTGATCGTCGTGGCCCAGAATTCCGCTAGCAACTTGACCGAGGAGCCCTCCACTCTGGACGTCAAGCTTACATATACAGATACCAAGAGTAGTTCTTGGAAGTCTGCATTTTCACTAACGTTGGGCATGAAGACATCGATTAACCTCGATGTTCCGGAAATTTTCGATGGGAACATCGAATTTTCCACTCAAGTTCAATCAGGAGTCGAGTGGGGAAAGGTCTTCGAATCGACCACTGATCTCGAAGTCTCGCACAGCATCGTCGTACCACCGATGAGTAAGGTAACGGTTAATCTAGTAGCAACCAAAGGTATGTGCAATGTTCCTTTCTCATACAGGCAGAGCGACACTCTCTATGATGGGAGCACTGTCTTGACTGAAGTACAAGGTGGCACGTACTATGGTTCTAATTACTACGGCATGAAATTTGAGGACAATCAGAGGAGATACCTCCAGGGACCAAAAAGTAATCTGATATATATACTCCAACAAGAAAGATGGGTGTGTCTGCATGTGTTGTCTTTGCTGGGGTTTGGTTTATAACTGTTGTTGAGGTGTAAAGTGTGTTTTCTCCTTGGGTTGTTTTGCTTGATTGTGTATTGACATGTAGTACTCTTTTTCCTCCGTTTATGTATAAGGAGGTTTTTTAACGAGGCTCATGTCAATGTCGTGTTTTGTTGTATGTCCTTTTGATATTAATCATACATCCATCTTTCAAAAAAAAAAAAAGTAATCCGATATCAATTATGTTAGAAAACAATTAAAATTGATTTCAACCAGGTCTTTTGGTATACCAATCAACTTGGACATCAAATCCAACTTAGATCTCAAGTTCGCTACAAAGTCCGCCTATGCTATGCGTTCAAATATTTTAATTTCGTTAGGAAAAGTTAATAATAACTATGAAAAGCATTGAAAGATTAAATTCATAGAATATAAGTATGTTTATAAATTATTTAATGAACGTTTAAGTGTAATTTTCTCTTATTAAAATCATTTGAATGATGATCCGATAGATTTTTTCAATGAAATATTTCTTATTTTTAAAGTTTCTTTTGAAAGAGGTAGTTTTGTATGATATTATTCGAGTAAAACCCTACAAAATGAAACCTTACAAATCATCAAATTTATACCCAAAACCTTGAATATACCTTCTCCGAAAAATAATTACAAATTTATTAAAGAAAAGGAAAGTCTCACTTAGACAAATTTATTTTTTAAGTGAAAAAAAAGATTGTGAATGAATTTGAAAAGGTTCAGTTAAATTTAAAAAATATTTAATAAGTATTTTTCAGATTCACTTCAATTTTAAATTGTATTTAATATACTTAATTAAGTTTAATTTGAAAAAAAAAAGAGACGACTAAGGTTTTTTCCGTTGAAATTAAAGAATGTAAACTAAATCTAATATATAAAAACTAATAGTGTATATTAACTTTATAAATTGGATGATTACTGTTTGTGTGAAGATGAAAATTTTAAAGATTAAAAAACACAATAACTAAAAAATGATTACACAATCTACACATAGAATAAGACTAATAGCAAAATTGTCCTATAAATTTCGACTGGGAATCTAGTGAAGAAAGGTCTTCGAATCGAACACCTATCGAGAAGTCCTACACAAAGTCGTCTTGCCCTAAGCTAATACATGAAACTTTACTTGAGGACTATACAAACACTATGAAAGGAGGCATAGCATATAGATATGATGGATCATTCATCATTAAGTCTAAATCATAAATTATCTAATATTTAATAAAAATAGATAAATAATATAAGTTTTAGGCATAAGAAAACAAATTTCAACACTTTTAACATGTCGGTTTTTTATAAAAAAAAAACATGCATGTTATGGGTTTTTTTTTAATAATTAAAATTATTTTAGAATTTATATTTACATAATTCTTTTACCGTAAGTTTTAATTATGAAATAAATACTTAAGATGTAATAACACGATAAATTGTACTATAAATGCATCTCCCAACTATACATTTAGTTATTTAACCTCATCTTTATTTTGGGTTAGGGATGATTACCCCAGTCGGCCAAGACATACTTAATACCTAATTGGGTTTTACATAAGATTTTACAAATTGTCCACTAAAAGTGACGGTAATAAAAATAAAATTTAACATTAGAAGCTTAAATTCCCGAACTCCAATCAGATTTTACCAACACTAGGTTTGAAGTTCCATAATTTTGTCTCCTGCTTAACCAAACAATCCTACACCATTAGATATGCTCGTAATAAAACAATTTAAGAATATATTGATCCCAAAAAGGACTTTAAAAAAAGTAAAAGAAAATAAGTAGCAAAGTGGGTAGGAAACTAACTAAGAATGATACTTATAATAAAATAGGATAAAAGACAAGATTCGATCCAATAAACTATAACAAGCTTGGGTCCACGGATTACCTACTTTTTTACTTCTCTGCTTGGAATATAATTGGCAACCAAATCCATCTATGAGCAATTAAATAAAAATATATATTTACAGGTGTGTTAGCTTTCTAGGAATATCCACAATCTATTTTTAGATTTCATTATTTCGAAATACTGAAATTAGAAAAAATAAAAAAAATGGAAATATTTCTCTCATTTAAAAGGGGTAAATTACGCATATAGTACATAAACTATTAATTTTAGTCTATTCTAATACCTAAACTATTAGTTTTTATCCGTTTTAGTACCTAAACTTTCGATTTTAAAAAAAAAACATACCTAAGGTTTAGTTTTTATTTCATTTTATTACTCGTCGTTAAAAAATGTAGTTTTTATTTCATTTTAGTAACATGTTCAAAATTTAACGATAAGTTTTGAAAAATTTGAATGTTTAGGTACTAAAAAAACTAAAAATAATAATTTAGGTACTAAACATATTAAGTTTATAACGGAGGGATATTAAAATAAGAGAAAATCGTCTCAGTGACCAAAAATGCCTTATAATATACGATTTTAACCAACTTTTTTGGATTTGCCAAAATGACCAACAAAATCACAATGCGATCTCTAATTCGCAACTCGATCTCCAGTATCGCAAATTCGCGCTGTATTTCGCGTTGCGATAGTTGAAAATCGCGTTGCGATTTTCCATTTCGCGTTGCGATAGTTGATTGCGATAGTCTACAGTGTCGTTGCGATTTTCCATTTCGCGTTGCGATAGTGTACAGTGTCGTTGCGATTTTCTTTTCCCGTTGCGATAGTCGTTGCGATTTTCCATTTCGAGTTGCGATAGTCTACAGTAAATTAAAAAAAGATTTTGTTTCTTAAGAATTTTCTCTAAAAAGATGTACCCGCGAACGTGTCGAAGATATTTCGCGTTGCGATAGTTGAAAATCGCGTTGCGATTTTCCATTTCGCGTTGCGATTTGTTGCGTTGCGATGTGTTGCGATCATTGCGTTGCGATAGTGTACAGTGTCGTTGCGATTTTCTTTTCCCGTTGCGATAGTCGTTGCGATTTTCCATTTCGAGTTGCGATAGTCTACAGTAAATTAAAAAAAGATTTTGTTTCTTAAGAATTTTCTCTAAAAAGATAGTATCCGCGCGAACGTGTCGAAGACATGTATTACCACGACCACGACCCGGGACGAGACGACGGCGGCGGCGACGCGCGAGGTACCCCCTTATTCTTTTTCACTCAACAAGGAAATGGGAAATCCAAACCTTAAATACACTTCCATATAGTGTTTCCAATACTATGTGTGATTGAGCATTACTCAACACTTCAAAGAAAATATAGCAATTTTTGTAGCATGTTTCCTACTTAATCCATATCTAAAAATATTAAAACATTTTATCATATTAAAACTATATGCATAAAACATGCTAACATGACGTTAGCCATTCAAGAGATGAACATGAAACTGTGGGGCAGGGCATTTGAGGTCTGCCAAAATGAAAGCCTAACATTAAATGGAAAATTAAATGGAGTTTCACATGTGGAGATGCATGTAATTAGCCAATTTTCACATGTGGTATTGTACAGAAGATTTTGCAAAATTAAATGGAGTTTCACTAATGCATCCATCAATCATTCCGCTCCATGAAACAATATTCCTATCGGGCATCTGTTCGAACATGAAAACGTGCAAACTTAATCTCTCCTTGCTTAGCCGAGCCAGTGATCATCACATTCCAAGTAACATGATTCTTCTCAGGCATTTCGTCGAACACTTTCTTACACTCAACCAAACACTTCAAAGAAAATATAACAATTTTTGTAGCATGTTTCTCACTTAATTCATATCTAAAACATTTTATCATTTTATCAAAAGAATTAAAAGAGTTGTAGATATCTACATTTCAATTCAAACTTATACATATATTTTTAATATGATAAAATGTTTTAATATTTTTAGATATGGATCAAGTAGGAAATATGCTACAAAAATTGCTATATTTTCTTTGAAGTGTTGAGTAATGCTCAATCCCACATAGTATTGGAAAAACTATATGGAAGTGTATTTAAGGCTTGGATTTCCCATTTCCTTGTTGAGTGAAAGAGAACAAGGAGAACTCTCGCGCGTCGCCGCCGCCGTCTCGTCTCGGGTCGTGTGGTCGTGGTCGGGCTTGGATTTCCCATCTCCAGTATCGCTATCGCAACGCGAAATGGAAAATCGCAACGACACTGTAGACTATCGCAACGCGATTTTCAACTATCGCAACGCGAAATGAAAAATCGCAACGACACTGTATACTATCGCAACGCGATTTTCAAATATCGCAACGCGAAATGTAACGCGAATTTGCGATACTGAAAATCGCGTTGCGAATTAGAGATCGCATTGCGATTTTGTTGGTCATTTTGGCAAATCCAAAAAAAATTGGTTAAAATCGTATATTATAAGACATTTTTGGTCAATGAGACGATTTTCTCTTAAAATAAAATGAAATTTAAAAAATTTAAATATTAAAATAAATCAAAATTAATAATTTAATTATTAAATGCATAGTTTACCAAGTGATAATAATTGAGGTTTGGAGCCCTGGACAGGAAGATCACGTGATGGTCCAACCCTGTCACGAGTAGAGAGCAACACGTACCCATTTTTGTAGTAAACGGACAACAATGCCCCAGAGGCCAGAACAAAACCTAATAAATAAATAAATTAAAAATAATACTAGCAATAATGGTTCGGTAGGACCCGCATTGAATGGGTGAGTGGGCCCACGATACACCTATTGGCTGAATATTACTGGCTATCTTATTTGGTTCCATATAAGCATGCCATCTGTTACTTCCCCTTTGGGCTACACCTTATCAATTTCTCCTGCTATTTTCGTGATAAATAACGAACACTACATTATATATTTGCTTTTCGGATTGATTGAGAAACAGTTATTGCACAAAACTATAATTTTTACTTTAAATTAGTCCTTAAACTTTAAATTATTCTATATTACTCCTTAAAATTTTAGTGTTATTCCATTTTAAAGCAAATTCACCTTATATATAAAGCAAATCATATTTTAAACAAGTAAATCAAAATTTTAATTATTGTGCACATGCTTCATGATAACTTAAATTCGATGTATTA